TTACTAACTGATTTTTTTTTTGTTAAATCTCAAGATAATTATCTAAATTATTCGAAAAAATATTTGTCCTACAAAATCTATGGTTTGATCAAAGAGTCCCCTCTATCCAATATGTATCGATAACGAGGTCATCATAAATGATTACTTTTTGTCTTTACTTTTTGATTAATTATTGTTTAAGACAATTTAATTACTAGCAATAAAGAAATGTAGATGGCGCTGTGTGATTTAAACACGAGCTATCACACCAGTAAAGTGTATAGTATAATAAATTAAATATTTAATTAGAAGAATTTAGAACAAGTGCATAGTGTTTTATTGTAATCTCTATAGTACCTAAATTAGTACAACATAGTCCAGTGGTGCAGTGCAGTAGTTCAGCGAGATTAACCATTAAATAATTATAAAGATAAAGGTGTCTCCATAACCGGAACTTACTGCGCTACGCTTCAATTCTAGAAAAATTGAAAGAAACCATAATAGAGAAAAAAGGGGACAATTGACCAAAGGAATCCTTCTTCTGCACGACAACGCGCCTGTTCACAAGTGCCATGTTGCGCGATGGCTGCCCTGCAGAAGGTGGGCTTCGAAATTTTGCTACACCCACCCTATAGTTCTGACCTGGCCCCGAGTGATTATTATCTATTAAAACCAAACTTAAAAAAAAACTTCGTAGGAAAAAGTTTTTACGTGATGAAGAAGTGAAGGAAGCAGTTTCGGCGTATTTTTTAGACAAAGACAAATCATTTTTTTTTCAGGGTATACATAAGTTAATTGACAGATCCGAAAAATGAATTAAGGTAGCAGGTGAATATACTGAAAAGAAAAAATAAATTCGGATTTTTATTACCACTCCTTACCCCCTATTCTGCGAACTTTAAAATGTCCCCTCGTACTTACGTGTACAGTATTTTCAAATATTTTCTCATTAATAGAAAGTTTCCAATTAACTGAATAATATACCATTGTAACTATATGTCATTATATTATTATTACAAACATCGTATAGTTTCGTAAAATATTTAGGTACGAGTACGAATTTTGGTTTTTGGTCGTTATATTAAAAAAAAATATTTTCCTCGTTTTTCCTAAAGTTGTCTTAACAGTATGTCGGCGATTATGGTACAAGAAATAAAAATTAATGCGTCGAAAGTTTATTTACTTGCAGATTAAAAATGATAAGAATAATGGTTGTGCGTTCTAGTGATGCGTGATTGCAAGTGCCCGAGCGCCGTCGTTCGCCGCGGTCACCGCTGCCTTCCCCGCGCGTCCGCCCCCCGCACCTCTTTCGCTATTGGCATAGACAACTATTACACATATTTAAGGCGCTGTACATAGTCAAAGTAGGCTTCAGAAAACATTTTTTTAGGAAAATGTATACAATTTAGAGCTGCAAAAAAAATATATGTTAATCTTGATCATATATATTGGGGGACCATTGTGTTCAAAACACATTTTCGGTAAATTTTCTCGATAGAAAAAAATCATAAAAAATCCATAAAAAATGAAATTACAGCGATTGTAACTGAATTATTTATAAATAAATCTTGATTAAGTTAATAACAGTGATGTAATATATAATAATAAAGGGAACTGTTGTTTTTATTTATCGATTAAAATAAGATATTTGTAAGTATTAACATATTTAATGATTAATAACTCGAACGAGTCCAACGAAACATCGCGCCATCTTGGTGTCTTTTTGCTTCTCTTTCATTTCTACGCGGAGCGACACTGACCGCTGAGGCGCGCTGCTAGATAGACCTGTTTCTCTCAAAACTCAAAAATCATTTACGTATGTTTTGTTGTTGAAAGTCGTGTATATTTTATTTTGTGATTAGTTTTTTATAAGTTGTATTGTTAGCGTAAATATTTATTCGGTTTCGGTTCTAGTGATACGTTTTGTAAATATACAATTAGTTTTTTATAAGTTGGTCTAAACTTTTTGCGATTTAGGTTTTAGTCATAAGATTTATAAAATAAACAATCAATGTATGCATACATTATAAAAATGGGCAACAAAAAAATAAAATAAAAGGGCATCTTACTCGATGAAACAAAAATACACGATGGAAGTTGTAAAGTATATATATTTTTGTGCACACCTTATTTTGGTTATATAGATTATCTATACATACGTAATTAAAACTACTTTTACGGATTTTATCGCGTTTATTTTTACTTTTTATTTACTTTTATTTTTAATTCCCGACGTTTCGGGCGCTTTCCAGCACCCATGGTAATGGGGGACTGAGATGACTGACGTCCCGATGTCGGATGTCGGATTTGTCGGATGAAACTACTTATCGAAAGGTCAAAACAGACCCTACAACTAATACGCTTAAAACAACTAGCGATCTAATTAAGAAATACTCCGAAAAATTGAATTTGGACGTTAATTCGATAATACCTTCATGTACCAAACCACCGAAGTTGTATGGGTTACCAAAAATACACAAACCGAACACTCCATTACATTCAATAGTGAGTCAGATCGATTCGCCAACTTACAGATTGGCTCAATACTTAGCTAAAATATTATCACCACTCAGAGGACACACAAGAGCACACACTAAGGATTCATACCATTTTGTCAGTGAGATAAAAGACCTACATCTTACTGACAATGAAACCATGGTCAGTTTTGATGTTCAGTCTCTATTTACATGCCTACCTGTTGAAGACTGCATCTCAATTATAACTAGGAAAGCTAGAAGAAAATAACATGCCAGCAGAATATGCAGTATTACTAAGACATTGCCTTACATCTGGCTACCTATTGTGGAAGGAAGAGTTCTACAAGCAAGTAGATGGTGTTGCGATGGGCTCACCTGTATCTCCCATTGTTGCCGATATATTCATGGAAGACTTTGAGAAGAAAGCCCTCCTTACTGCACCTGTTACACCAAGGATCTACAAGCGGTACGTAGACGATACTTTCACAATTTTACCATTAGACAAAGTAACTGCATTTTTAGAACATCTTAATTCCATAAACTCTAAAATTCAATTTACTATGGAGTTAGAGGCAAATAATTCCTTACCTTTCCTAGATATGTTAGTCATCCGAAATCCTAACAACACCATTGGTCACACTGTGTATAGGAAAAAGACCCATACAAACCGATATTTAAACGGTGAATCTCACCACCATCCTTCACAGTTAGCTACCGTGGGCAAATCTTTGTTACAGAGAGCACGAGGGATCTGTGACAGCAAACACCTGGCCGCCGAGCTTCAGCACGTCAAGCAAGTTCTGCACGACAACAAGCTTCGGGTCCCGCGCCTACGTCACAGTGACCGAGTGAAGCCGGCCACAGTCGAGCGTGTGCCTGCTGTACTACCATACGTCAGAGGTGTCACAGACAAGATTGGCTATATCTTGAAGCGAGCTTCAGAACATTCTACAAGCCGCCGAAGAAGATTAGTCAGTTCCTACCATCCGTCAAGTGTCATATTCCTCTACAAGATACAGGAGTGTACAAGCTTGATTGTGAATGTGGTCTCTCTTATATAGGACAAACAAAAAGATCAATTAGGACCCGCGTAAAAGAACATATAGCTGATGTGAAGCATCAACGTTCCGGGAAGTCTGCAGTTTGTGATCATATCCTAGACGGACCCAACCATTACATCAGATTTGATAGACCACAAATCCTCGCGAAAGAACACCGATTCCTACCAAGGATGATACGTGAGGCTATTGAAATTAAAAAACATCCTAATTTCAATAGAGAAGGAGGCTGGGTACTACCATCTGCTTGGGATCCTAAAATCAATAAAATTAAAACTAAACCCAAGCATACCACTGCAAGACCTCAGGACATAGTCAGTTCATTTTGCATAGAACGGACCATAAACAATAATTAAAAAAAAGCTGAAGGTACTCCGGGTTTAACAATGACATCGGGACGTCAGTCATCTCAGTCCCCCGTGACCATGGGTGCTGGAAAGCGCCCGAAACGTCGGGAATTAAAAATAAAAGTAAACAATAAGTACAAAAAAAAAAAAATAAACGCGATAAAATCCGTAAAAGTAGTTTTAATCATGTATAGTGTTCGCGTAAATATAAGAAATCATTATATACATGCGTAATTTCAACTAGCTCGTCAGTAGTTCGATTGGTCTAGCGCAGCCGTGCGTTGAGTTTGTATCTCGCGTCGATGTGTATTGGTTCTAATCCCGCATACTGTTCGGGTCACGCTTTTTGCTGGTTGACTTTTTCTCGATTTTCTTGTTTGTAATAATTTTTCACAAATATATTTTTTATTTTCTTATTTTTAATATAATCATAATCCAATTTTATTTTTTTCGTAAAAAGAAACGGTTGGCATGCAATTCGTCAGCAGAGAATGATCGGAAAAAGCTTTTCATGAGTAAGCTTTTACATACATGGTGTTACAGAATAATTCTAATTTATCAACACAGAATTACTTTTCAAAAATGAATAAGTGGGCTTAGGCGCTATAAATTACCAAAATGCCCACAATATAAATTGAATAAATCCGCATACAAAATTTTCTAAATGCCAAATGCAAATTACTCAAAATGCAAATTGTTAGAAATCATTTTCTCAAAAAAAACACACGATATAAAAATAACTATGTAAGTACTTCAATTTAAAAACTTGTTTCAATTTTAGATTACAAAAAGACTCTGAGCACGAAAACCCTGGGACATCACTTTCAATTGCATTAGGGGGCGTCCATAAATTACGTGAGGTGTTTTTTTTTAATATTCTGTGAGATGTCGTGAGATTTTATTCAAACCCCTCCCCCATACCACAATCTCACGTGAGATTTTTCAAAATGTGGGTTTCTTACGTTAAACGCGTTGGATTGTTATTGTAAAAGGAAAAAAAATTGCTTCGTGCTTTTATTTACGACTAGTTAAGACTAAAAATATTGATTAAATCAATATTGCTGAGAGTTTTTAAGTGTAATAAAAATTTAACAATAGAATACTTAAATCGTGACTACTGTTATTAAAAAGTAGGATATCTACTCTAATTCAGTCCATGGAGAATCATGCGCGGTCTCAAGAGAGACTATTGGAACCAACATGTTCATATGATTTTCAGTAAAATCATCTGCTCCTTCAACTTCGTTCTGATCTAGCCACTCTAAGCCGTTGGCGCTTGCGCACAGTAGCTCATAAGCTCGTCTTGTGACAATCTGTGAAGGTCGCACTTTGCGGAACATACGCGCTTGCTTGTGGGCTGCTCGCCTGTGATCTGCAGCTCTTGTGATAGATGCAATAATAGATTTATATATAGAGTAAAAAATAGATTTATGCATTTTATTGATTAATCTAATACTAATATTTCAAGAGTTATTGGCCGCGATAGAAAAACCGTTTCATTAAATGGGCCATAAATCGTAAACGGTAAGTTTTACAAAAAAGTTTACTGGAAACAAAAGATGCGAAATTTTATTTGCTACAGTGATGGTTTCTATAACTTTTGGCTTAAAGTGCATAGTTTCCGAGATATCGACTGAAAACGTTTTTCCAAGATGGCGCTTGAAGCGCCACCTGGATCTGTCAGCATTTTGTGATTTTATGCTGAGTAAGTGATCCTAAACCTTATAAAAAAATAAAATTGGATCGGAAATTTAGTACACAGTTAAATTCCATTTTTACTATGTTATTTCATTAAACATTTTATTTAACAACAACGTCTTACAATCGTTATTTCTCTACGCTTAAGATTAAATCTTAAGCATGTACAATCTGGATTAAATGGACCAAAATAGTATTTTGCTATTGATTGAACCGTCGACTGAATCTCTAGAACCACCAATTCATGGTCAAAGAGTAGTTGACATAATGCATCTTATCCAGCAGCTGTGAATTATATCCTGTCATAGTTCTTTTTAGAATTGTCATTTCTTACAAATGTCACACACAGGAGAAAAAAGTATTGGCTGTTAATAAGTTTAAATATTTAATTAATTAAAAACTGTATAAAAAGGGTTATTATGATATAAATGAATACATGGTTGATAATAAACCCTGGGAATGAGGTGGTCGCTTCAAAGTTGTTTCTAAAATAAATTTTGTAAATAGTTTGTAACCAATCATATTGTAAAATATATGTTTTAAAGTCCCACTGGGTTTCTTGCTGGTTTTTCCTGGGAGAGAGTTTTTTCCGAACCAGTGGTAAAGTAAAAATGACTTTCAATAACAATTACATGTGATCAATATTGAATAAAAAATCATTCCATTCGATTTTAGGGCTGACACCATAATAAAAGTTTTTCATAACGATGTGTACAATGTCTGCCTTTGGTATTACTACACTCTTTTGTAACACACTGTATATAAATATTTTTCTCCATAATCAACCATCAAGCTCGGTGGATATTTTTACTTTATTTGTATTATTTTTATCTTGATTCTGAAGAAGTATATTATATCCATAGTAAAAAATTATATGTTTTTATAAATTCAAAATTTTTGACAATTAGTCGTTTCGAGAATAGACCATTTTTAGAATTGACCATTCTGCACCTGTCATTTTATTTATTATTCGTCTAAAGAATCTGTTACATAATTTCTCGATAATTTTTGTAGAAAATTGAATATTTATTTTTAAATGAAAAAAAAATATTTACGTATTTTAAAAATAAAAATACGAAAATATGTTGGTACATAATATTTTCAAAATAAGAAAACAAATATATGGAGATATGTTAATAATAAGAACATTTTAAAAATACGAATACAAAAATAAAAGCGTGCGACGGGATACGAACTGTCAGCCACCGGAATACCTCGCAACTGTTCAAAGGCGCGTTAGGCCAAACGTACATTACACAAGGGCGCGAAATTACGCATTTATATATAATGGACGTCGCACATCGGCGAAATTCGTGCGGTAAGCACCCTGCAGTGAGCGAGACTGCTCGTCCCCCACTCGTCTGCTTCACCCCCTCTAGTACATAAAAGTCGTCTATTCACCGTGTCTTAAAAGAAAATTAGTCTTCTCTAGTAATTAGTAAATCAGGTTCTATAAAATTATTTTTGTGGTCTCTTCTCGTATTTGTCTTATTATAGTTTTACCGCTTGTCCGGTGTTGCGTTAATTCATTATTGAAATAAATTATTTTTCCATTGCTATTTTATTTGAATAATGTTTAGAGGTCTCGGCGGTGCGCTTGCATTAAGGCAGCGTATTGCCTGGCAGGGTCGCCATGTAATGTTGGACGATGTTCAATAAAAAGGAGACGTGTTGTCCACTTTAAGACTTCTTATACTGTTTAATTATTCTTCCTTAATATTAATATATAATAACGTGTGGGATACACTACTCTACATTGTTCTGTGAAAAATTATATTGTTGTTGTTCCGGTGCTTTATTTAGTACTATTTAGTCGACGAAGGTGTATTTCTTTACTTAAAGAAGTGCAGTAATAGCACACGTGTATATCAAATGTGTATCTACACACGTGTATAATAAAAGTGCATGTGTATAAGTACGTGTTTCTTTAAAATATAAAAATGCATTAATAACATTTCTTTAATGGGGCAACTCTAGTGATGTTGATAATTTTAGACGTGTTGTGGGTCGTATGGGTTATATTTTTACGTGGTAGAGCCATGCTACAAATATATTAGTAGTATAGTTGTAGCACGAATGGGTAGGCTCGACCGGGAAAGGACCACGCTCCCACGGAATACCAGCTTAAAATAGTAGCTTAATGTTGCTGTGTTTCGTATGGTGAGTGTAGAGACCCGGAGACCCTTATTACTGGAAACGAGGCATTCCAACTTGGCCTTCACGGGTGATAACGCATCTGCATTTTGATTCGTAATCGACGATAGATGTAGATGTCTATGGGTCATAGCAACTATTTACCGTCAGGTGGACTGTGTACTCGTTTGTGACCCTATTCTATAAAAAAATATTGACAGGGTACTTAAGAGTGTGCTTGAGATGAACATGTAGTGTTATATAATTTTGTGCGTTCAGGAGAGCTAGGTAGTCATGCTGCAGTTATTTTATGGTTGTATTGCGAATGGGTGGGCTCGGTCGGGGAAGAATTATATGAAAGAGCACAGAATACGAGCGTAAAATAGCATCAATAGAGGATGAGTGTATAGAACCAGCGAACTTCTTTACTTGAAACGAGGCATTCCATGTTAGCAGTGGTCAGGGGCGACAATGGTAGTAATCTGCAATTAGATTTTTAATCGAGGATAGATATGGAAGTGTATGGGGCTGAGCATCCAGCTGGTACCAGGGGGTGTGGTCGCTTATGAGTGTTGTTGACTGGCAGGAGGCAGTGGTGGAGGCGGTGGCGCGCGCGGGCGTGGCGGAGCGGGCGCGCGCGCTGCGCGAGGCGGCGCTGATGGCCGCCGCCGCCGCCGCCGCGGCCTCCGCAGCGTCCGCGCCGCGCCTCGGCGACGCACTCCGCGACACGCTCGCACGCGCGCTCGCACGCTGCAAGGTAACCACACAACTTATTATTTATACTATATTTTACACACACATGTATTCATCAAATACAACACATATATTTTATAGGTAAACAAATAAACGAAAAAAATATACAACACGTATATTTTTTTCGTTTATTTGTTTACCTGTGTTATGATTTGTAATGAGCCATCTTATAATTGTAACTTTGTGGACATGAGAAGGAACTGAATTCCGACACAGCTAATGCTACTTAGGTAGTCATATAGTCGTAAATAATGTCATAATAGCAGACAAAACTAGCATTATTGTGTCATCGTACTGGAGAGAATTCATTGTTCCCATTTGATTGCCTAGACATAATGAATGAAACTTATACAATATATTATAAAATTGACAACGTATATTAAATTGCAGTACTTCCACACAAAACATGTGTAAAATAGTCTAAATCAGGAACAAAAAATACTACACGTAAGATGACACATGTATACGCTACCATTCGCCGATATATGGATTATTCCAAATTATTTTTTACAAAAAACATCTCCATCATTCTTTTCGACCCATGGCTCTATCCCCTTGTAACACACAAACCAAATCTCAAAAAGTGCTTATAGGAAACTCTTTCCTATGTGAACGTACTTAAAATACTTCTCTGGTACTCCATTTTGCCTACCTTTTTTTTGCCTACCTAGTCTTGGCTTTAATGCGACTTCATTTTTTTTTCTCAACTACTTGTCGTATCGTTCAGTCCTCTTATTGTTTTGCCTTGTAATTCTATGCATACACAAACTTTTTGTGTTTCTTTAAATATACATTCAATTTACTGGATACTGAAGAGATACAATTCTAATTTCTATCTGTTAGAATGTTCAACAAACAGTTTTTCTTTTTCATATATAAGTTTCAATCACAGATTAGGCGATGATGACTTTTCAGCAATGAAGGTCCATAAGCAATAGTATTAATTTTTGAATTTCAGCAAAGGAAGCGTCTATTGAAATGAAATAAATCAAGTCGGTCCTGCGTTATTTTAGAAATGGATTAGATCTACTTTAGTCAGAACTTATGCGATATCTGGGAAAAATTTGTGATTTTCTTTAATATCCTGACTCGAATTTCAATGTTTCTGCCGCTTCATCGTGACGCACGAAAGTGCCGAGCGTTAAGCTGCTGATTGTTCGAGTAATAGGCTCAATTTAAATTGCGGCAGAAGGGAATGCAATGGATGCGTTAATTTCGTTTAGTCGCGCACGACAAAGCGCGAGAGTTTGCCAGAATACTCGAGCATTTCCGCGACTGCGCCTTGAGGCTATAGAAGAAATTCAATTGGTTACAAAAAGTCGGTTTGGTTCCGTTTGGCGGCGATGTACATTGAGAGCCACGGCGTCCTTGGTCAGGAGGACGAGTGCCGCGGCGTGGCGCTGCGCGCGCTGGGCAACCTGCGGCGCGCCGACACGGCCGAGCTGCTGCTGCAGCACGCGGAGGGTCGCGGTGACCGCGACGTGGCGCTGAGCGCGCTGCAGGCGCTGGCCGCGTTGCCGCCGGCTGCGCTGGGCCCGGCGCGCCAGCGCCGGCTGGCGGCGCTGGCAACGCGAGCCGGCCCGCTGCCGGTGCGCGCCGCCGCGCTGGAGCTGCTGCTGGTGCGCGCGGCGCCGCTTCCTGCCGCCGCTGGTGTTGGCACGGCTGGCGCGCGAGCTGCACGCGCACGCGCCGGCCGAGCTGCGCCGCCTGTTCTGGCAGCGCGCGCGCCAGTTGGCCGCCGAGCACCGCGCGCTAGACGACGTGCTGCACATGCTCGCGCCAGAACTGCGCGGCTGGGACGCGCTTGCGCAGCCAGGTCAGCGTTCACTCTTTCAAACCTTTCGTGTTTCTGTTGATGACTACTTCATTTTGCGCCGCCAGACCATTATATGACACGAAGCAGACAAAATCGAAGAATAACCACTGTATCCCTTCAGTGGACGCCGTAAGAGGGAGCAGAGGGAAATAAACCAAGAAACAACTGAATTTTGCAATAACACTACGAAGATTACCGTACGAAGAAATTATCTGTAGTATCGAGGACTGTTTATTTAAAAACAATATGCGAAAAGAAGTTTCGTCTATGTTACGTGGAAGTTCAATGCCTAAACCGAATCTACCCAAAAACGAATTTATAGCGGGAGATCGTCTTCTCGAAAGCCCGGTAAAAAAACCAACGCGTGCGAGAGAGACGACAAAATCAGCTCCTTGCTTTAATTAATTTTGACAGTCCACTGGCAAGTGTTGACGTTACATATTATATGCTACGAGGTCAGGAGCGCGCAGGAAATTTGAAATAGTTTGAAACAGTTCTGGGCTTCTATGGAGGCTTCGCCACTGCTTTTAGGCAACTCGATTATCGATATAATGGGAACACACCACCCACCATCCCGTTGTCTCCATCCCGTTGTCTGAGTCCTTTGTGCCTAATGTGCGCTTCACACAGTGTTCAGTACGCAAAGCACTATCCATAACTACGGTGGCATTTCCCTATCCGCGCAGAAAATCGTGAGTTCTGGTTTATTGCGTAGGATATTTTGTCATACAGTCTATCTAGCGGTAGTATGCCTTCTGTGTGCTTTGTTAAACACGTCCTTGACAGCATTGAATATGAAACTAAACTGGTGTATTTTTATAAAACTGCTAAAACAACAAAACCATATCTTGGGCTTGCCCTAGTTTAGAGCACTAGCTTCGCCACTGCCTAAAAGCTCTAAAAGGTCGGCTTTCTCTTTTTGTCGAGGGCAAGCGAGTCGTCCTCACTCTGCAAAGATGGAAGTGATGACTTACAGAAATGTGAACTGTGATCTGCCCCCAACGGGTACAACAGATGAAATAATTAGTTCTATTCCGTGAAGCACCACATTAGTGATCACGTAAAGACAGAAACAGTAACAACGCTGAGAATCATTCTACGAGAAACAAACTTGCCCCCAGGTGGAATGCAGAAAAGGCTGCATCCCAACCACATCCGCTGGCCTATAATACCGTACACGGGCGGCAATCTGCAGAACGTAAACGCAGTAGAAGCGTGGGTCCAAAGAGACGAGAGGAGAATTGGCGGAGGCGAATAGATATCCGTTCGAATGAGAGGTCAACTAAAGGTCTAACAGGGAAGGTACATGATCTTCCATATCTGGAATCCGCGTGTGCAAAGTATCCTGATAGTCTAGCCATATGTTAAGCCGAAGTCATAAACTAATCTCTCCGCATGATCGGTGGAACGAGAACTAAACCATTCGGTGTGGGTGTTATAATAGACAAGGATAACGAAATCTGCAGATGGGATCTGTTATAACACTGAGTCTGCAGCCATATTTGACTTCGCCGATAAGTCGGTCTATAACAGCGTTGCCTCTATAGAACCTATAGAGGCACCTATTAACAAGAGGATGATCGTTGCTGTCTACTCGTAGCCAAAAGATGGACACCTTCAAGACTGCCAAGCCGTTGAAAACAACGTATACGAAAACTCGTAACCTTATGTTACAGAAATCCATGGCTAGTGTGGCAAGGGTCTCTTGTTGCTCTGCTTGTCTCGAGCAGTGTTGAGCAGGATTTTGACCCTGTCTCCAGAAAACGTAGGGCAGCGTGAGCACCTACGCTCAGTAAGAGTGGTTACCCACTCTTACTGAGCGTAGGTGCTTGGGCGTGGATGCACAGTGAGAGATTTTCCATTACTAATGATGAGCCTCCGTCTACCTGCAGTTACCAGGTGAAATGCAGAAGTAAAGCTTCTACTTCACGCTTGTATTCTATGAGGTCGTGGTACAACGCGTGGTGTAAAACTGCCACGTGGCTCCGCCACCTTTAAACATAGACGAAACGCTATGTGTATTCCCATTGTATAATATGGTATGTGTATGGCGCAGGTACCTCTTCGGTGCTGGTGCGGTCGCTGGGGCGCATGGGTCCGAGCAGCGCGCGGCTCGAGTCGCTGCAGCTTGCGCGCGGCGGCCTGCTGCAGCGCGGCAGCGTGCGCCTGCTGCTGGACGACTTGCCCGCGCCCGCGCCGCTGCTTGCCGTGCGTATCTGTGCCACTGTGTCACTGTGCTACACCACACCACACCTCACCCCACCCTGCACTACAGTCGCTGCAGCTGGCGCGCGGCGGTCTGCTGCAGCGCGGCAGCGTGCGCCTACTGCTGAACGACGTGCCTGCGCCCGCGCCGCTGTTCGCCGTGCGTATCTGTGCCACTGTGTCACTGTGCTACACCACACCACACCTCACCGCACCCTGCACTACAGTCGCTGCAGCTGGTGCGGCTAGCACACCGCGGTCTGCTGTGACTCGGGCTGCGGTTTTCTGGCCACGAAACATCTTAAGCACAATACGCAGGAGAAAACTGTTAAATCGGATCAATTTTAACATAGTTAAACCTGACATTAACCTGAATTGAATTTGAAATAATGCGGTTGCTTGATGTTACTAAACGCAGGATTATTGGCGTCTTATAACAGATTGAAATGTGGACCACGGGGCTTGATTCGCTGGCGGGCGGTGAGGTGCCGGTAGACGAGCGGGACGAAGAGGAGCAGGGAGGTGATGCGGAGGACATGGCCGCCGGGCTGGCGCTCACCGTGGCCGGTGCGCGATTGCCCTCGATTACGCTCTTCAACGGACAGGTCGGTTTTATTATATTCTCATTCCTATATTTTATAACTATATTTTTAATTAGAAAAAAATAGGAAAAATACTTTGTGACCATAGTTTATATGTGTGTCTTAGAACGTATCAGATGTAATATCAATGTAATATACTCGAAAAATGATTATTACTTATTAACTTTTGAATGTATAAAATATATCTATTTACAATCTCATTGGCGCTTGTTAGAAACACATTTGTGTGACGCCGCTTGTATTTTATGTTTCAATTTGATTTCTTAAACTTTCTGTTTATACTAAAATAAATAAAATTGTATAATATATATTATACATAAGCATATATATCAACATTAAGAAAGAGCTTTTGATACGCTGAGCCACAAACTACTTCTTAACAAATATAAAAACATAGGGATCGATAGAAAAACACTCAAAATTCTTGTATCAATCTTATGTAGTAAGTTTTAAAATTGGAAAATTAGAAATTCAACAAAATAGAATTGACTGTGGTGTGCCGCTTCGCATCGTTCCTTGTATTGACTGTGGTGTGCCGCATCGCTTCGGTCCTTGTATTGACTGTGGTGTGCCGCATCGCATCGGTCCTTGTATTGACTGTGGTGTGCCGCATCGCATCGTTCCTTGTATTGACTGTGGTGTGCCGCATCGCATCGTTCCTTGTATTGACTGTGGTGTGCCGCATCGCTTTGGTCCTTGTATTGACTGTGGTGTGCCGCATCGCATCGGTCCTTGTATTGACTGTGGTGTGCCGCATCGCATCGTTCCTTGTATTGACTGTGGTGTGCCGCATCGCTTCGGTCCTTGTATTGACTGTGGTGTGCCGCATCGCATCGTTCCTTGTATTGACTGTGGTGTGCCGCATCGCATCGTTCCTTGTATTGACTGTGGTGTGCCGCATCGCTTTGGTCCTTGTATTGACTGTGGTGTGCCGCATCGCATCGGTCCTTGTATTGACTGTGGTGTGCCGCATCGCATCGGTCCTTGTATTGACTGTGGTGTGCCGCATCGCATCGTTCCTTGTATTGACTGTGGTGTGCCGCATCGCATCGTTCCTTGTATTGACTGTGGTGTGCCGCATCGCTTCGGTCCTTGTATTGACTGTGGTGTGCCGCATCGCATCGGTCCTTGTATTGACTGTGGTGTGCCGCATTGCATCGGTCCTTGTATTGACTGTGGTGTGCCGCATCGCATCGTTCCTTGTATTGAGTGTGGTGTGCCGCATCGCATCGGTCCTTGTATTGACTGTGGTGTGCCGCATCGCATCGTTCCTTGTATTGACTGTGGTGTGCCGCATCGCATCGTTCCTTGTATTGACTGTGGTGTGCCGCATCGCATCGGTCCTTGTATTGACTGTGGTGTGCCGCATCGCATCGTTCCTTGTATTGACTGTGGTGTGCCGCATCGCATCGTTCCTTGTATTGACTGTGGTGTGCCGCATCGCATCGTTCCTTGTATTGACTGTGGTGTGCCGCATCGAATCGGTCCTTGTATTGACTGTGGTGTGCCGCATCGCATCGGTCCTTGTATTGACTGTGGTGTGCCGCATCGCATCGTTCCTTGTATTGACTGTGGTGTGCCGCATCGCTTCGGTCCTTGTATTGACTGTGGTGTGCCGCATCGCATCGTTCCTTGTATTGACTGTGGTGTGCCGCATCGCTTCGGTCCTTGTATTGACTGTGGTGTGCCGCATCGCATCGGTCCTTGTATTGACTGTGGTGTGCCGCATCGCATCGTTCCTTGTATTGACTGTGGTGTGCCGCATCGCATCGTTCCTTGTATTGACTGTGGTGTGCCGCATCGCATCGTTCCTTGTATTGACTGTGGTGTGCCGCATCGCTTCGGTCCTTGTATTGACTGTGGTGTGCCGCATCGCATCGGTCCTTGTATTGACTGTGGTGTGCCGCATCGCATCGTTCCTTGTATTGACTGTGGTGTGCCGCATCGCATCGTTCCTTGTATTGACTGTGGTGTGCCGCATCGCTTCGGTCCTTGTATTGACCTTGGTGTGCCGCATCGCATCGTTCCTTGTATTGACTGTGGTGTGCCGCATCGCATCGTTCCTTGTATTGACTGTGGTGTGCCGCATCGCATCGTTCCTTGTATTGACTGTGGTGTGCCGCATCGCTTCGGTCCTTGTATTGACTGTGGTGTGCCGCATCGCATCGGTCCTTGTATTGACTGTGGTGTGCCGCATTGCATCGGTCCTTGTATTGACTGTGGTGTGCCGCATCGCATCGTTCCTTGTATTGACTGTGGTGTGCCGCATCGCATCGGTCCTTGTATTGACTGTGGTGTGCCGCATCGCATCGTTCCTTGTATTGACTGTGGTGTGCCGCATCGCATCGGTCCTTGTATTGACTGTGGTGTGCCGCATCGCATCGTTCCTTGTATTGACTGTGGTGTGCCGCATCGCATCGTTCCTTGTATTGACTGTGGTGTGCCGCATCGCATCGTTCCTTGTATTGACTGTGGTGTGCCGCATCGCATCGGTCCTTGTATTGACTGTGGTGTGCCGCATCGCATCGTTCCTTGTATTGACTGTGGTGTGCCGCAGCGCATCGTTCCTTGTATTGACTGTGGTGTGCCGCATCGCATCGTTCCTTGTGTTGACTGTGGTTGCCGCATCGCATCGTTCCTTGTATTGACTGTGGTGTGCCGCATCGCATCGTTCCTTGTATTGACTGTGGTGTGCCGCATCGCATCGTTCCTTGTATTGACTGTGGTGTGCCGCATCGCATCGTTCCTTGTATTGACTGTGGTGTGCCGCATCGCTTCGGTCCTTGTATTGACTGTGGTGTGCCGCATCGCTTCGGTCCTTGTATTGACTGTGGTGTGCCGCATCGCTTCGGTCCTTGTATTGACTGTGGTGTGCCGCATCGCATCGTTCCTTGTATTGACTGTGGTGTGCCGCATCGCATCGTTCCTTGTATTGACTGTGGTGTGCCGCATCGCATCTGTCCTTGTATTGACTGTGGTGTGCCGCATCGCATCGTTCCTTGTATTGACTGTGGTGTGCCGCATCGCTTCGGTCCTTGTATTGTAACGTTGCACGTACATGTATGCATAATTATAATTAAACGGTTTATTAAAATTAAATAAACATTTAATAAACTAAATAAAAATAAAATAAAAGCTATTAACAAAAATAATTCTATAATTAACTTAGGTATCCTATTAATAAAACAAATTAGTAAACTAAAAGAACGAATTAAATAATAAATCAAATATTAAAATATTGTATTTCGAACAAACACTCTGACGCTTCGTTACTCTATGCGCTTTGCAACTCTCGCGTCAGAGTTTTACCCGGCCGGTATCATTCCACGGCGTCGCGCTCCCGGTCATTCTCCGCCCGAGCGCCCTGGGAGGCGCACACTACCACTGCAGCCGCGTTCACAAGCTCTGCTTTGTGTCCTCGTACGCGCTTGCAAATTTTAATCCCATTTTGGAAAAAGTTTAAAATAGTATAATAATTCCGGCACTGTGGCCGTATAGTTTTTTTGTTAATTCTCGTCACCGAGACCTCCGTATCGTCTTGCACCCCGTAAGGGGTGCAATTTTCGACTACAACCGTGGCGGTCGTCCTTCTTAAGAGGGCCTCAGGCCTCCCCTCGACGCCGCCACCGCCACAGCCAGCTGCCCACGGCGCTCCCCGTGAACAGTCCAACCCCCCGGCCCTGCTCGACCACCTCGCGGCCACATAGGGGAGTACCTGACCCTGCCAGTGAAGCCAGACGGGCACTTTTTTTTAAATTATCGGAACCACGCCCACGACCTTTTCTTTTACCAATATATAATTTTTTTTATGACTGGTTGTTGCCTTATTTTAAACAACAACCGTATCACTGGCGCCCATAAACGTGGTAAAAAAGGTCTGGTTTCACTGCGTAGGAGTAGTTGGTGTTTGTGTCGTTTTGTGTTTGTGAAACGTTTTTGTTTTTTTTGTTTTTTGGTTGCAGCAACTAATGTGTACGAATTTCATTATTGTGTTTGTTTTAGGAATTTTATTGAATTTCAATTGATTTATTTATTTACTTGTATTATTTGAGAGATCATAAACTTTAATCCCTAACTAAGAATTTGTTTAGTTTCGAATAACTTTTCGTAATCACTCTATGCCGTGCACTACCCTATGTTGTTTACGTTCTATCATTGTACAGAGTAGTTAGCGTGCAGAGTGGTCACTGTGTAATCTGTGATAGAGTAAATTTAATATTGTTCCGAGGTATTACTATTCTATTCTGCAGTAGGTTTTTTTTCTCGTGGTTTTTTTTTTCTGTGATATTATTATTATTGAAATTTTATGAATTGTAACTATTCCCTATTGTTGCTGCAGAACCCTAGTTCAGTTGAGTCACGCATGCGTTGGTAGTATTTTAAATTATTCAATCAATTGTTTTTTATTTTAATTCTTAGGCATATTATTATTATCTTGTTGTTGTTTTATTTAATTGTTCGAGTACACATTAGTTGCGTATTTTAATTTTTTGTTGCGCTGCTTCTTTTATTTTGGTGGCAGTTGCTTTATTCTTTTTACTGCTTCTTTTATACGCCAATCGTTTTAGTCAACCAGAACGTTCTTAGTACCTGATATTATAATTGTAACGGAACGGAGTAGATTAAGTCAGTAACGACTCAACACTTACCTCTTTGCGGTTATACGCGTGTTATAATGGCGCACTCGGTTAAATTCCTATCGTTGCAAAAGTCGGAGTTAGAATACGAAGTTGCCATTAGAGGTGCCACCCCGGCTGACACAGTCAGAGAGTTACGCGAGCAGATTGCTAAATTAGGTCCACTCTTTCCTTCGGAGGACATTCTCGAGAGCGTTTTGTCTGTCGGCGATGATTTAAAGGGAGTCAGCGATGCTTTAATTAAGCTAAGAGCATATATCGAGGCGCCTAGCGATGGGAATGCGTTGCTTCGTGCTCGCAACCTCATTAACCACCTCCATCATCGACTCAACCGTATAGTTTGTGATAGCACGACCCCGTTTCTTCCTGTGGGTGTCGTAAAAGTCGACTAAGGGATAGGGTAGTAGTGTGTTGTGGGAGATGGGCTAGCAACCATCACTGCAATATCACAAGATCTCCATGTTACACCTACAAGTACACTTAATTAAGTTGCATGTGTTCTGCTTGTTACTTAGGAATACACTAGCGTTATATTTATATATATACATGGTGCTCGTTTTACCCTGGTCACACTTTTACATCTTTAGCTCTAGGTATTCGTATGGGTCTTCCAGTCTAACCGATGCTGGAACACCTTGCCAAATGACAGGATGCGTCAACTACCCTATTGATGTTCGTTGACGCTGATATAATCGCGTGAAGTATGAGAGATGTTGTATAAAAGGATAATGCGAATACATAACAATTTAGAGCGGATTTTATTAATTAATTATAATAAAATCCTTATGTAGCGCGCGGGGTACTGTAACGTTGCACGTACATGTATGCATAATTATAATTAAACGGTTTATTAAAATTAAATAAACATTTAATAAACTAAATAAAAATAAAATAAAAGCTATTAACAAAAATAATTCTATAATTAACTTAGGTATCCTATTAATAAAACAAATTAGTAAACCAAAAGAACGAATTAAATAATAAATCAAATATTAAAATATTGTATTTCGAACAAACACTCTGACGCTTCGTTACTCTATGCGCTTTGCAACTCTCGCGTCAGAGTTTTACCCGGCCGGTATTATTCCACGGCGTCGCGCTCCCGGTCATTCTCCGCCCGAGCGCCCTGGGAGGCGCACACTACCACTGCAGCCGCGTTCACAAGCTCTGCTTTGTGTCCTCGTACGCGCTTGCAAATTTTAATCCCATTTTGGAAAAAAGTTTAAAATAATATAATAATTCCGGCACTGTGGCCGTATAGTTTTTTTGTTAATTCTCGTCACCGAGACCTCCGTATCGTCTTGCACCCCGTAAGGGGTGCAATTTTACGACTACAACCGTGGCGGTCGTCCTTCTTAAGAGGGCCTAGGCCTCCCCTCGACGCCGCCACCGCCACAGCCAGCTGCCCACGGCGCTCCCCGTGAACAGTCCAACCCCCCGGCCCTGCTCGACCACCTCGCGGCCACATAGGGGAGTACCTGACCCTACCAGTGAAGCCAGACGGGCACTTTTTTTAAATTATCGGAACCACGCCCACGACCTTTTCTTTTACCAATATATAATTTTTTTTATGACTGGTTGTTGCCTTATTTTAAACACCAACCGTATCAGTGTTGACTGTGGTGTGCCGCATCGCATCGTTCCTTGTATTGACTGTGGTGTGCCGCATCGCATCGTTCCTTGTATTGACTGTGGTGTGCCGCATCGCATCGTTCCTTGTATTGACTGTGGTGTGCCGCATCGCATCGTTCCTTGTATTGACTGTGGTGTGCCGCATCGCATCGTTCCTTGTATTGAATGTGGTGTGCCCCATCGCATCGTTCCTTGTATTGACTGTGGTGTGCCGCATCGCATCGTTCCTTGTATTGACTGTGGTGTGCCGCATCGCATCGTTCCTTGTATTGACTGTGGTGTGCCGCATCGCATCGTTCCTTGTATTGACTGTGATGTGCCGCATCGCATCGTTCCTTGTATTGACTGTGGTGTGCCGCATCGCATCGTTCCTTGTATTGACTGTGGTGTGCCGAATCGCATCGTTCCTTGTATTGACTGTGGTGTGCCGCATCGCATCGTTCCTTGTATTGACTGTGGTGTGCCGCATCGCATCGTTCCTTGTATTGACTGTGGTGTGCCGCATCGCATCGTTCCTTGTATTGACTGTGGTGTGCTGCATCGCATCGTTCCTTGTATTGACTGTGGTGTGCCGCATCGCATCGTTCCTTGTATTGACTGTGGTGTGCCGAATCGCATCGTTCCTTGTATTGACTGTGGTGTGCCGCATCGCATCGTTCCTTGTATTGACTGTGGTGTGCCGCATCGCATCGTTCCTTGTATTGACTGTGGTGTGCCGCATCGCATCGTTCCTTGTATTGACTGTGGTGTGCTGCATCGCATCGTTCCTTGTATTGACTGTGGTGTGCCGCATCGCATCGTTCCTTCTATTGACTGTGGTGTGCCGCATCGCATCGTTCCTTGTATTGACTGTGGTGTGCCGCATCGCATCGTTCCTTCTATTGACTGTGGTGTGCCGCATCGCATCGTTCCTTGTATTGACTGTGGTGTGCCGCATCGCATCGTTCCTTGTATTGACTGTGGTGTGCCGCATCGCATCGTTCCTTGTATTGACTGTGGTGTGCCGCATCGCATCGTTCCTTGTATTGACTGTGGTGTGCCGCATCGCATCGTTCCTTGTATTGACTGTGGTGTGCCGCATCGCATCGTTCCTTGTATTGACTGTGGTGTGCCGCATCGCATCGTTCCTTGTATTGACTGTGGTGTACCGCATCGCATTGTAGTGTATGTGCCTCCACCCTACTAGCATATGTTAATAAATGTACTTACTCTTAGGTTTAAATGACAGTATAATTAAAGTCTTGAGTAGAGAAACACGTCTTCACTTCATTTACCAACCGTTCAACATTACATGGCGACCCTGCACAAATAGTTAAAGAAACATGGAAAAATAAATATAAAACTAAAGGAACAATTTTCAACTATTGAATTGACACTACCGGATGTGACAAGTAAGCCGAAACGGAGACATAAGAAGAAGCGACAAGGTTATTATTTCTTTAAGGAGATATGCTAATAAAACCTATTAGAAAAAGAAGAAAAATGTTACGGAAAAAAAAACGGGAACGATCAACTTCAGAAACAAATATTATGACAGCTTCAAATATTACATGAAGATTAAACGAATTAGATGGTGAGATCACAAATTTAAGAAAAATAGAAGAAACTTCCTGCAAGCCTTAACCGATAAGAAGAAAAGAACAAATTATGAGGTAACTTCGCACCTATGTGATTTTAATTCTATTTCAAACTTTATTTAACAATTTAAGATTGTTTTTTTTGCTATTATGTTTTTAAACTTAGATATTAAATATTCTGTATTTTACTTATAATTAAGTTGAAATTAGTTATCAGATTATTCACAATATACTTTATTATCAAATATTTAATACCTACGAAAAAAAAAACAATTATAATACAGTATTAAAAATTAAGTTGAATTTTAAGCACTTATGTGGCACTTCTATTAAGGCGCTGGACCAGACTTTATATTCTCATTTATGAAGTTATAGTTTTGTATTATTTTTTTACTGTGTCCTGCCAAACAATTAATGAAATAATAAAATAATAGATTCCAATTTTACGCACTTGATTTAAAATAACACTGTGATACATTTCGTTGATTTTTTTTTTCTCGAATCCAAATTTTAAAGGGTTAGAAACATTTCACTATCATTATAAGTTTTAATTTTTTTTTCAAAGGCATTAAATCTTAAATTTATATAATAACTTATATAAGATATAAAAAAAAACTTCCTTTTAAATGTTTGAATAAATTATTGTATCATTGTGTAAAGGTGATAATTCTAATAATGTGATTTTCAATTATTCTGTATACACGACATAATAAATAACATACTTTCAGTAATATTTTTCGATCTGTATAAAAGCGATATAGCTTTTAACGATGTAACCATGTGGACTTCTGAATAAATAAGAAATTAAAAATATTAGTTTAAGGTACATTTTTTTTCCTCGCACTCATTTATATGAGTACTACTACTTATGTAGTAACAAATTGTACACGTTAAGTTGACATTAGGCACGATCATACGATGTGATTATTTTAACGTTTATTATCAATTATATTTTTCATATTTTCTGGCTAAAATAACACTTTTATTTCTTTTTGAAAGACAAGAAACTAGTTAGGTAGGTAAATATAACAGGAGTCAATCTTTACACAGTGAATATAAAAGGTCTGCTAACCATTTCTTACGAATGATACTGATGTTTCTAAAAATATGATATTATAAAATGTTATGCAATGAGCGTATCCTATAAAAAAAACATGGTAACATAGATGATAAATTTAAACTGAACACAGCAACATGCAACACATTAACAGGTGTAGGATAAATCATAACAACATTGTAATAGCGATAAAAATAATAAGTATAGATGAGTAAATGATAATAGTATTGTTACAGAGATGAAAATAATAAATAAATAACAGTGTAAAGAGGAATAAAGTAGTTAAGAGGTTTTAATAATAATGGTTCAAAAAAAAAAAAGTTAAACACCGACAAAGAAAATTTATTGATAAGAATGTTATCTCATTTGTACAAAAATTAGAAAGCATGTAATTGGTATGAGGAACGGAAGAATGTTCGAACGTGTAAATACAAATGATTTAGTTACTAAGTTTTGTCAATATTGGACTGATCACCCAAATATTGATGATACTTAAACTGTGCGACTTGAAATGTGTGAGAATGATGCAAGTTAGTATATAGAAGTGGGGCACGAAAGTATATAAATAAAGAACAAGGTAATGAAGAAATAAAGAAAGAATAAATATTTATGGCAATAATAAAAATATGACATTGACCAATAAGTAATGGAGAGATATGGGAACGTTCAACACTGGTATAGCGTATAGTCCTCGAGCAGGGTACGTTTCCGTGATTGGACGATGAAATCGGAGTAACGGGTACTAGGGAACAACGCCTTCAGTACAAGTGATGTAACTGAGTTTACTCATATTAGTACTGTTAGGGACCAGAGAAATCTTAAATTTGTTACCCTTATTAATGGTACATTGAGGTCACATCCTTCGGTGGATCATGGTGCGAACTTAGTTTTCCTCAGTGACAATTGTTGGAGTCCTTTGAAAATGATTTAAACGTAGACCTCAAGGTTGTGCGCACAACCCAAGGTACATTTTACCTTGATATAAAATGAAAATAAAATATGTACCAATAAAATGAAATGAATGTTACGAAAATGTAATATAATACCCAAATAAATGGGGGGCCCATATTTATAAAGTACCCGCGTGATAAATATCACGAAATAAAATATAAATGAAATGAAATAATACTCCGATTCCCCGTATCTAATAAATAAATAAATATATAAGTGAATAGAGAGAAATAGAGCTAGCTAAAGGTCAAAAATATTAAGAAGAAAAAAAGAAAGTACGTACAAGAATTATGGAAAAAAGGCCTAATAATTGATGACAATACAGGATAATAAGGGGATCCCCGAGCAAATTAAAAAGTGTGATAAATGTATGATAATCTAATAGTGGATAGATGGTTATTTTGCATTTCTATATTAGGACTATTAACGCTACCCAAAATGCTACTAGCAAGTTGCACATATAACAGCTATAGGGTTCGATTCGCACAACTACACGTAAACAAATAAAAATATATCAACCCAATATGATAAGTACACTTTCGCGTAAATTTATATAAATTTACGAGATTTTTTTCATATTTAGGCACATTGATTCGTATTTACAATGATTCTACTTTAAATAATTTTTTCTGTCTCATGTTTTCTTATGTAAAATGTGTACAATTTTGAACTACATTTATATAAAGCTTATTATATTCAAGTCCAAAGGTTATCGATACACTATTATTGTAAATTGTATAATGTAATCGTTTTTTTTTTCTATAAAAAAAGGCAACGAAAACCTAAAATTGTGTCACCTGCTTGAAATAAAATTGGCTTTTCCAATGTAAATAAATATTTTGTAAAAAAAAAACTTTATCTGTGTACCTAACAGTGTATTCTCTTTTTATGTAAATTTCTGTCCCAATTAAGATAAACGTATGTCTTAGAAGTAAAAGTAATATTTTATTATTAACAATGCAACTATTTTTAAATATTTGTTCCAACTTTTAAGGTATATTTTACTTGCATTCATATTATAACATATTATGGAAGTTACTTAATGTTAGGTATGAATCACCACACCTTGTGATCATAGCCCGATGTAATTGCAAACGTAGCCTTATACGTACCTACCTACTTAGAAATTTAAAACGTAGGTGTCACAAACCGCTTACGCGACTGGGATTGCAAGTTGTATTTTGATTCCCGTTATTGCTGATAGCGATGATATTTGCGTTGCATTACATTATGTTTTTGCTCTTTTCATATTTAAATGAAATGTAATATTATCGGTGTTATATTCATTAAACCTGCAAATCACATGCTTTAACTTTTATAAGTCATTAATTTCTGAAAATATAGTAGAATCTTAATGTCTAACCTATTTGTGTGGATCATGAAAGCAATAGTTAAACAAATATAAAGGTATAAATAAATTAAATATAAAGTATATACAATTATGAATACAAATGTGAATAAATATATATAAAGGTAGAGCAGGTACTGCTTAATATGAAATGTAATAGTTTATTTTCAGTTTTATATTGTTTGAACTTTTAAATCATAACTTCTAACTAGAACATATAGTTAATGTAATAAATCTCGAGTGAAAATAAATGTAAAAAAAAATTATTAATAAGTATATGGTATGATAGGTGGTATGTTCACGTTAACGTGCAGTTGTGACATTGATTAATATCAAAAATACGACAGGCTTAATGTCGTACGAAATAAAAATGTTAACGAAATAAAATCGCATGCGTATCACGGATTGACTTAATAATATGATTATGTATAACCATGGTATAATCTGATCATGATCATGAGATTATAATTTTTTTAAATGAAGTTACTTTTATATTTTGTTTAACTACGTTATTTTATTCCAATTAGAAAGTATATACATTTAAAGCCTATGTAACATTGTATTTTATTTTAATCTTCAATATTAAAAGATTAAAAATAAATATTAAAAATTATTCAATATTAAAATTATTATTATGTTATAAGATTCATGAAAAATAAAATGTAAAAAAAAAGTAAATAGAGAACTTTCCTTTTTTTTTTAAGTATCGGGGGAGGTGTAGTGTATGTGCCTCCACCCTACTAGCATATGTTAATAAATGTACTTACTCTTAGGTTTAAATGACAGTATAATTAAAGTCTTGAGTAGAGAAACACGTCTTCACTTCATTTACCAACCGTTCAACATTACACATCGTTCCTTGTATTGACTGTGGTGTGCCGCATCGCATCGGTCCATGTATTGACTGAGGTGTGCCGCATCGCATCGTTCCTTGTATTGACTGTGGTGTGCCGCATCGCATCGTTCCTTGTATTGACTGTGGTGTGCCGCATCGCATCGGTCCTTGTATTGACTGTGGTGTGCCGCATCGCATCGGTCCTTGTATTGACTGTGGTGTGCCGCATCGCATCGTTCCTTGTATTGACTGTGGTGTGCCGCATCGCATCGGTCCTTGTATTGACTGTGGTGTGCCGCATCGCATCGGTCATTGTATTGACTGTGGTGTGCCGCATCGCATCGGTCCTTGTATTGACTGTGGTGTGCCGCATCGCATCGTTCCTTGTATTGACTGTGGTGTGCCGCATCGCATCGTTCCTTGTATTGACTGTGGTGTGCCGCATCGCATCGGTCCTTGTATTGACTGTGGTGTGCCGCATCGCTTCGGTCCTTGTATTGACTGTGGTGTGCCGCATCGCTTCGGTCCTTGTATTGACTGTGGTGTGCCGCATCGCTTCGGTCCTTATATTGACTGTGGTGTGCCGCATCGCATCGTTCCTTGTATTGACTGTGGTGTGCCGCATCGCTTCGGTCCTTGTATTGACTGTGGTGTGCCGCATCGCTTCGGTCCTTATATTGACTGTGGTGTGCCGCATCGCATCGTTCCTTGTATTGACTGTGGTGTGCCGCATCGCTTCGGTCCTTGTATTGACTGTGGTGTGCCGCATCGCTTCGGTCCTTGTATTGACTGTGGTGTGCCGCATCGCATCGTTCCTAGTATTGACTGTGGTGTGCCGCATCGCATCGTTCCTTGTATTGACTGTGGTGTGCCGCATCGCTTCGGTCCTTGTATTGACTGGTGTGCCGCATAGCTTCGGTCCTTGTATTGACTGTGGTGTGCCGCATCGCTTCGGTCCTTGTATTGACTGTGGTGTGCCGCATCGCTTCGGTCCTTATATTGACTGTGGTGTGCCGCATCGCATCGTTCCTTGTATTGACTGTGGTGTGCCGCATTGCTTCGGTCCTTGTATTGACTGTGGTGTGCCGCATCGCTTCGGTCCTTGTATTGACTGTGGTGTGCCGCATCGCATCGTTCCTTGTATTGACTGTGGTGTGCCGCATCGCATCGTTCCTTGTATTGACTGTGGTGTGCCGCATCGCATCGTTCCTTGTATTGACTGTGGTGTGCCGCATCGCATCGGTCCTTGTATTGACTGTGGTGTGCTGCATCGCATCGGTCCTTGTATTGACTGTGGTGTGCCGCATCGCATCGTTCCTTGTATTGACTGTGGTGTGCCGCATCGCATCGTTCCTTGTATTGACTGTGGTGTGCCGCATCGCATCGTTCCTAGTATTGACTGTGGTGTGCCGCATCGCATCGTTCCTTGTATTGACTGTGGTGTGCCGCATCGCTTCGGTCCTTGTATTGACTGGTGTGCCGCATAGCTTCGGTCCTTGTATTGACTGTGGTGTGCCGCATCGCTTCGGTCCTTGTATTGACTGGTGTGCCGCATCGCATCGTTCCTTGTATTGACTGTGGTGTGCCGCATCGCATCGTTCCTTGTATTGACTGTGGTGTGCCGCATCGCATCGGTCCTTGTATTGACTGTGGTGTGCTGCATCGCATCGGTCCTTGTATTGACTGTGGTGTGCCGCATCGCATCGTTCCTTGTATTGACTGTGGTGTGCCGCATCGCATCGTTCCTTGTATTGACTGTGGTGTGCCGCATCGCATCGTTCCTAGTATTGACTGTGGTGTGCCGCATCGCATCGTTCCTTGTATTGACTGTGGTGTGCCGCATCGCTTCGGTCCTTGTATTGACTGGTGTGCCGCATAGCTTCGGTCCTTGTATTGACTGTGGTGTGCCGCATCGCTTCGGTCCTTGTATTGACTGTGGTGTGCCGCATCGCTTCGGTCCTTATATTGACTGTGGTGTGCCGCATCGCATCGTTCCTTGTATTGACTGTGGTGTGGCGCATTGATTCGGTCCTTGTATTGACTGTGGTGTGCCGCATCGCTTCGGTCCTTGTATTGACTGTGGTGTGCCGCATCGCATCGTTCCTTGTATTGACTGTGGTGTGCCGCATCGCATCGTTCCTTGTATTGACTGTGGTGTGCCGCATCGCATCGTTCCTTGTATTGACTGTGGTGTGCCGCATCGCATCGGTCCTTGTATTGACTGTGGTGTGCTGCATCGCATCGGTCCTTGTATTGACTGTGGTGTGCCGCATCGCATCGTTCCTTGTATTGACTGTGGTGTGCCGCATCGCTTCGGTCCTTGTATTGACTGTGGTGTGCCGCATCGCATCGTTCCTTGTATTGACTGTGGTGTGCCGCATCGCATCGTTCCTTGTATTGACTGTGGTGTGCCGCATCGCATCGTTCCTTGTATTGACTGTGGTGTGCCGCATCGCATCGTTCCTTGTATTGACTGTGGTGTGCCGCATCGCATCGTTCCTTGTATTGACTGTGGTGTGCCGCATCGCATCGTTCCTTGTATTGACTGTGGTGTGCCGCATCGCATCGTTCCTTGTATTGACTGTGGTGTGCCGCATCGCATCGTTCCTTGTATTGACTGTGGTGTAACGCATCGCATCGTTCCTTGTATTGACTGTGGTGTGCCGCATCGCATCGTTCCTTGTATTGACTGTGGTGTGCTGCATCGCATCGTTCCTTGTATTGACTGTGGTGTGCCGCATCGCATCGTTCCTTGTATTGACTGTGGTGTGCCGCATCGCATCGTTCTTTGTATTGACTGTGATGTGCCGCATCGCATCGTTCCTTGTATTGACTGTGGTGTGCCGCATCGCATCGTTCCTTGTATTGACTGTTGTGTGCCGCATCGCATCGTTCCTTGTATTGACTGTGGTGTGCCGCATCGCATCGTTCCTTGTGTTGACTGTGGTGTGCCGCATCGCATCGTTCCTTGTATTGACTGGTGTGCCGCATCGCATCGTTCCTTGTATTGACTGTGGTGTGCCGCATCGCATCGTTCCTTGTATTGACTGTGGTGTGCCGCATCGCATCGTTCCTTGTATTGACTGTGGTGTGCTGCATCGCATCGTTCCTTGTATTGACTGTGGTGTGCCGCATCGCATCGTTCCTTGTATTGACTGTGGTGTGCCGCATCGCATCGTTCCTTGTATTGACTGTGGTGTGCCGCATCGCATCGTTCCTTGTATTGACTGTGGTGTGCTGCATCGCATCGTTCCTTGTATTGACTGTGGTGTGCCGCATCGCATCGTTCCTTGTATTGACTGTGGTGTGCCGCATCGCATCGTTCCTTGTATTGACTGTGGTGTGCCGCATCGCATCGTTCCTTGTATTGACTGTGGTGTGCCGCATCGCATCGTTCCTTGTATTGACTGTGGTGTGCCGCATCGCATCGTTCCTTGTATTGACTGTGGTGTGCCGCATCGCATCGGTCCTTGTATTGACTGTGGTGTGCCGCATCGCATCGTTCCTTGTATTGACTGTGGTGTGCCGCATCGCATCGTTCCTTGTATTGACTGTGGTGTGCTGCATCGCATCGTTCCTTGTATTGACTGTGGTGTGCCGCATCGCATCGTTCCTTGTATTGACTGTGGTGTGCCGCATCGCATCGTTCCTTGTATTGACTGTGGTGTGCCGCATCGCATCGTTCCTTGTATTGACTGTGGTGTGCCGCATCGCATCGTTCCTTGTATTGACTGTGGTGTGCCGCATCGCATCGTTCCTTGTATTGACTGTGGTGTGCCGCATCGCATCGTTCCTTGTATTGACTGTGGTGTGCCGCATCGCATCGTTCCTTGTATTGACTGTGGTGTAACGCATCGCATCGTTCCTTGTATTGACTGTGGTGTGCCGCATCGCATCGTTCCTTGTATTGACTGTGGTGTGCCGCATCGCATCGTTCCTTGTATTGACTGTGGTGTGCTGCATCGCATCGTTCCTTGTATTGACTGTGGTGTGCCGCATCGCATCGTTCCTTGTATTGACTGTGGTGTGCCGCATCGCATCGTTCTTTGTATTGACTGTGATGTGCCGCATCGCATCGTTCCTTGTATTGACTGTGGTGTGCCGCATCGCATCGTTCCTTGTATTGACTGTTGTGTGCCGCATCGCATCGTTCCTTGTATTGACTGTGGTGTGCTGCATCGCATCGTTCCTTGTATTGACTGTGGTGTGCCGCATCGCATTGTTCCTTGTATTGACTGTGGTGTGCCGCATCGCATCGTTCCTTGTATTGACTGTGGTGTGCCGCATCGCATCGTTCCTTGTATTGACTGTGGTGTGCCGCATCGCATCGTTCCTTGTATTGACTGTGGTGTGCCGCATCGCATCGTTCCTTGTATTGACTGTGGTGTGCCGCATCGCATCGGTCCTTGTATTGACTGTGGTGTGCCGCATCGCATCGTTCCTTGTATTGACTGTGGTGTGCCGCATCGCATCGTTCCTTGTATTGACTGTGGTGTGCCGCATCGCATCGTTCCTTGTATTGACTGTGGTGTGCCGCATCGCATCGTTCCTTGTATTGACTGTGGTGTGCCGCATCGCATCGTTCCTTGTATTGACTGTGGTGTGCCGCATCGCATCGTTCCTTGTATTGACTGTGGTGTGCCGCATCGCATCGTTCCTTGTATTGACTGTGGTGTGCCGCATCGCATCGTTCCTTGTATTGACTGTGGTGTGCCGCATCGCATCGTTCCTTGTATTGACTGTGGTGTGCCGCATCGCATCGTTCCTTGTATTGACTGTGGTGTGCCGCATCGCATCGTTCCTTGTATTGACTGTGGTGTGCCGCATCGCATCGTTCCTTGTATTGACTGTGGTGTAACGCATCGCATCGTTCCTTGTATTGACTGTGGTGTGCCGCATCGCATCGTTCCTTGTATTGACTGTGGTGTGCTGCATCGCATCGTTCCTTGTATTGACTGTGGTGTGCCGCATCGCATCGTTCCTTGTATTGACTGTGGTGTGCCGCATCGCATCGTTCTTTGTATTGACTGTGATGTGCCGCATCGCATCGTTCCTTGTATTGACTGTGGTGTGCCGCATCGCATCGTTCCTTGTTTGACTGTGGTGTGCCGCAGCGATCGTTCCTTGTGTTGACTGTGGTGTGCCGCATCGCATCGTTCCTTGTATTGACTGTGGTGTGTGCCGCATCGCATCGTTCCTTGTATTGACTGTGGTGTGCCGCATCGCATCGTTCCTTGCATTGACTGTGGTGTGCCGCATCGCATCGTTCTTGCATTGACTGTGGTGTGCCGCATCGCATCGTTCCTTGTATTGACTGTGGTGTGCTGCATCGCATCGTTCCTTGTATTGACTGTGGTGTGCCGCATCGCATTGTTCCTTGTATTGACTGTGGTGTGCCGCATCGCATCGTTCCTTGTATTGACTGCTGGTGTGCCGCATCGCATCGTTCCTTGTATTGACTGTGGTGTGCCGCATCGCATCGTTCCTTGTATTGACTGTGGTGTGCTGCATCGCATCGTTCTTTGTATTGACTGTGGTGTGCCGCATCGCATCGTTCCTTGTATTGACTGTGGTGTGCCGCATCGCATCGTTCCTTGTATTGACTGTGGTGTGCCGCATCGCATCGGTCCTTGTATTGACTGTGGTGTGCCGCATCGCATCGTTCCTTGTATTGAATGTGGTGTGCCGCATCGCATCGTTCCTTGTATTGACTGTGGTGTGCCGCATCGCATCGTTCTTTGTATTGACTGTGGTGTGCCGCATCGCATCGTTTCTTGTATTGACTGTGGTGTGCCGCATCGCATCGTTCCTTGTATTGACTGTGGTGTGCCGCATCGCATCGTTCCTTGTATTGACTGTGGTGTGCCGCATCGCATCGTTCCTTGTATTGACTGTGGTGTGCCGCATCGCATCGTTTCTTGTATTGACTGTGGTGTGCCGCATCGCATCGTTCCTTGTATTGACTGTGGTGTGCCGCATCGCATCGTTCCTTGTATTGACTGTGGTGTGCCGCATCGCATCGTTCTTTGTATTGACTGTGGTGTGCCGCATCGCATCGTTCCTTGTATTGACTGTGGTGTGCCGCATCGCATCGTTCCTTGTATTGACTGTGGTGTGCCGCATCGCATCGTTCCTTGTATTGACTGTGGTGTGCTGCATCGCATCGTTCCTTGTATTGACTGTGGTGTGCCGCATCGCATTGTTCCTTGTATTGACTGTGGTGTGCCGCATCGCATCGTTCCTTGTATTGACTGTGGTGTGCCGCATCGCATCGTTCCTTGTATTGACTGTGGTGTGCCGCATCGCATCGTTCCTTGTATTGACTGTGGTGTGCCGCATCGCATCGTTCCTGTATTGACTGTGGTGTAACGCATCGCATCGTTCCTTGTATTGACTGTGGTGTGCCGCATCGCATCGTTCCTTGTATTGACTGTGGTGTGCTGCATCGCATCGTTCCTTGTATTGACTGTGGTGTGCCGCATCGCATCGTTCCTTGTATTGACTGTGGTGTGCTGCATCGCATCGTTCCTTGTATTGACTGTGGTGTGCCGCATCGCATTGTTCCTTGTATTGACTGTGGTGTGCCGCATCGCATCGTTCCTTGTATTGACTGTGGTGTGCCGCATCGCATCGTTCCTTGTATTGACTGTGGTGTGCCGCATCGCATCGTTCCTTGTATTGACTGTGGTGTGCCGCATCGCATCGTTCCTTGTATTGACTGTGGTGTGCCGCATCGCATCGGTCCTTGTATTGACTGTGGTGTGCCGCATCGCATCGTTCCTTGTATTGACTGTGGTGTGCCGCATCGCATCGGTCCTTGTATTGACTGTGGTGTGCCGCATCGCATCGTTCCTTGTATTGACTGTGGTGTGCCGCATCGCATCGTTCCTTGTATTGACTGTGGTGTGCCGCATCGCATCGTTCCTTGTATTGACTGTGGTGTGCCGCATCGCATCGTTCCTTGTATTGACTGTGGTGTGCCGCATCGCATCGTTCCTTGTATTGACTGTGGTGTGCCGCATCGCATCGTTCCTTGTATTGACTGTGGTGTGCCGCATCGCATCGTTCCTTGTATTGACTGTGGTGTGCCGCATCGCATCGTTCCTTGTATTGACTGTGGTGTGCCGCATCGCATCGTTCCTTGTATTGACTGTGGTGTGCCGCATCGCATCGTTCCTTGTATTGACTGTGGTGTACCGCATCGCATCGTTCCTTGTATTGACTGTGGTGTGCCGCATCGCATCGTTCCTTGTATTGACTGTGGTGTGCCGCATCGCATCGTTCCTTGTATTGACTGTGGTGTGCCGCATCGCATCGTTCCTTGTATTGACTGTGGTGTGCCGCATCGCATCGTTCCTTGTATTGACTGTGGTGTGCCGCATCGCATCGTTCCTTGTATTGACTGTGGTGTGCCGCATCGCATCGTTCCTTGTATTGACTGTGGTGTGCCGCAGCGCATCGTTCCTTGTGTTGACTGTGGTGTGCCGCATCGCATCGTTCCTTGTATTGACTGTGGTGTGCCGCATCGCATCGTTCCTTGTATTGACTGTGGTGTGCCGCATCGCATCGTTCCTTGTATTGACTGTGGTGTGCCGCATCGCATCGTTCCTTGTATTGACTGTGGTGTGCCGCATCGCATCGTTCCTTGTATTGACTGTGGTGTGCTGCATCGCATCGTTCCTTGTATTGACTGTGGTGTGCCGCATCGCATCGTTCCTTGTATTGACTGTGGTGTGCCGCATCGCATCGTTCCTTGTATTGACTGTGGTGTGCCGCATCGCATCGTTCCTTGTATTGACTGTGGTGTGCCGCATCGCATCGTTCCTTGTATTGACTGTGGTGTGCCGCATCGCATCGTTCCTTGTATTGACTGTGGTGTGCCGCATCGCATCGTTCCTTGTATTGACTGTGGTGTGCCGCATCGCATCGTTCCTTGTATTGACTGTGGTGTGCCGCATCGCATCGGTCCTTGTATTGACTGTGGTGTGCCGCATCGCATCGTTCCTTGTATTGACTGTGGTGTGCCGCATCGCATCGTTCCTTGTATTGACTGTGGTGTGCCGCATCGCATCGTTCCTTGTATTGACTGTGGTGTGCCGCATCGCATCGTTCCTTGTATTGACTGTGGTGTGCCGCATCGCATCGTTCCTTGTATTGACTGTGGTGTGCCGCATCGCATCGTTCCTTGTATTGACTGTGGTGTGCCGCATCGCATCGTTCCTTGTATTGACTGTGGTGTGCCGCATCGCATCGTTCCTTGTATTGACTGTGGTGTGCCGCATCGCATCGTTCCTTGTATTGACTGTGGTGTGCCGCATCGCATCGTTCCTTGTATTGACTGTGGTGTGCCGCATCGCATCGTTCCTTGTATTGACTGTGGTGTGCCGCATCGCATCGTTCCTTGTATTGACTGTGGTGTGCCGCATCGCATCGTTCCTTGTATTGACTGTGGTGTGCCGCATCGCATCGTTCCTTGTATTGACTGTGGTGTGCCGCATCGCATCGGTCCTTGTATTGACTGTGGTGTGCCGCATCGCATCGTTCCTTGTATTGACTGTGGTGTGCCGCATCGCATCGTTCCTTGTATTGACTGTGGTGTGCCGCATCGCATCGTTCCTTGTATTGACTGTGGTGTGCCGCATCGCATCGTTCCTTGTATTGACTGTGGTGTGCCGCATCGCATCGTTCCTTGTATTGACTGTGGTGTGCCGCATCGCATCGTTCCTTGTATTGACTGTGGTGTGCCGCATCGCATCGTTCCTTGTATTGACTGTGGTGTGCCGCATCGCATCGTTCCTTGTATTGACTGTGGTGTAACGCATCGCATCGTTCCTTGTATTGACTGTGGTGTGCCGCATCGCATCGTTCCTTGTATTGACTGTGGTGTGCCGCATCGCATCGGTCCTTGTATTGACTGTGGTGTGCCGCATCGCATCGTTCCTTGTATTGACTGTGGTGTGCCGCATCGCATCGGTCCTTGTGTTGACTGTGGTGTGCCGCATCGCATCGGTCCTTGTGTTGACTGTGGTGTGCCGCATCGCATCGTTCCTTGTATTGACTGTGGTGTCCCGCATCGCATCGTTCCTTGTATTGACTGTGGTGTGCCGCATCGCATCGTTCCTTGTATTGACTGTGGTGTGCCGCAGCGCATCGGTCCTTGTATTGACTGTGGTGTGCCGCATCGCATCGGTCCTTGTATTGACTGTGGTGTGCCGCATCGCATCGTTCCTTGTATTGACTGTGGTGTGCCGCATCGCATCGGTCCTTGTATTGACTGTGGTGTGCCGCATCGCATCGTTCCTTGTATTGACTGTGGTGTGCCGCATCGCATCGTTCCTTGTATTGACTGTGGTGTGCCGCATCGCATCGTTCCTTGTATTGACTGTGGTGTGCCGCATCGCATCGTTCCTTGTATTGACTGTGGTGTGCCGCATCGCATCGTTCCTTGTATTGACTGTGGTGTGCCGCATCGCATCGTTCCTTGTATTGACTGTGGTGTGCCGCATCGCATCGTTCCTTGTATTGACTGTGGTGTGCCGCATCGCATCGGTCCTTGTATTGACTGTGGTGTGCCGCATCGCATCGTTCCTTGTATTGACTGTGGTGTGCCGCATCGCATCGGTCCTTGTATTGACTGTGGTGTGTCGCATCGCATCGTTCCTTGTATTGACTGTGGTGTGCCGCATCGCATCGTTCCTTGTATTGACTGTGGTGTGCCGCATCGCATCGTTCCTTGTATTGACTGTGGTGTGCCGCATCGCATCGTTCCTTGTATTGACTGTGGTGTGCCGCATCGCATCGTTCCTTGTATTGACTGTGGTGTGCCGCATCGCATCGTTCCTTGTATTGACTGTGTTGTGCCGCATCGCATCGTTCCTTGTATTGACTGTGGTGTGCCGCATCGCATCGGTCCTTGTGTTGTACGTGGATAACGTTATTGCAGTAGGTCTCCCGGCATGTTGCACTTGACGCAGACACACCAGGCTGTGTAGTTAAGGCAGTACAATAGCGTTTGTCATTAATGAAACCCAACATGGTATTGATCAAATTGAATTTTGGCTACAAAACTTGCTAACACTTAACAATTCCAAAACATGCTACATGTTTTTTTTCTGCTAATAACGACAAACTTACCGTTCATCCATATCTAATTATTACTATGGGACCCATACACAAGTGTAAATAAGAATAATATAAGAGTTTAAAAAAACTCCAACAACACGCGATGATCATGAGCTCTGATGATCGTGATAATTATTTTATTTTAAAGCAGTTATCTGGATCAGGATACTGGAATAAAATCATTACGTTATTGTGTTGTCATTGTTTCTTGATACGAGTGCCAATTTACAAGTCAAATGGCCGTTTACCTTTCATTAAAAGTGACCATTGGTGAAAATCGCATTTAAAAATTCCGATACATAAACATATAGATACACGCAAAGCTAATAAAAGCGTGTTGAAAATACTTAGGTGTGTGTGTACGTGTGCCTGCAGGCGGAGCTGCTGGGGCACGTGTGGGCGGGCACGGGCAGCACGGCCACGCCGGTGCTGCGCGCGCTGCTGCCGCTGGGCGAGCGCGCCGCCGCCGTGCCACTGCTGGGCGCCGCGACGCTGCACGTGCGCGCCGGCGCAGCGCTCTCGCTCGCTCTCGACGCGCAGGTATGTGCCGCGCTCTCGCTCGCACTCGACGCGCAGGTACGTGCCGCGCTCTCGCTCGCACTCGACAGCGGAGGTACAAAGTGAATCAGAAACAAACTGTGTTTACTTTTTAATTTAATGGCGAATCACGGTTACTTACCAAATGAGCACATAAGGTCAGATGACACGTCGGCATGCATTAGTTGTCAACCACATCAGATTGACACAACACCTGAGGGTTATGCTGTAAAAAATATTAGAAGTCTTACCAGTGTTGAAACAGCTAGACTAGTTTACTTTAGCTCTTTCCATAGCATAACGTAGTAAAGTATTTTGCTATGGGAACACCCGATTGACTCTGAAATTATATTTATTTCATAGAAGAGTCGCTCAGACGATAGAGTAAATATAATTTTAGCCTCTCAATACAATTATGAAAATGTAATGTACGTACTCAAAAATAAAAGTGGTTTTACAAAAATAAGTGATATTCATTCTGTAAATACTATTAACAAAAAGAAGCTAGTAGTACCAGTTACTGGACTCCAACAAGTCGGCAATTCATTCTTGGGGCGATGTATACGCTTTTACAACAAAATCCCAGAAAGTATGCAAAATTTGACCTGTTCAAAGGTAAAAAAATTTAATAAAGTAAGTTTGTATAAAAAGGGTTATTACAATATTAAGGAGTTTGTGGATGATAATAACCCTTGGGAAAGGCGATCGCTACCAAGCTGTTTCTAATTTGTTTGCTGTTATTTTTTTTTAAAGTCCCGCTGGGTGGGTATCTTGCTGGTTGAGTAAAAAGGTTCATGTATATAGTGCAGTCCACTGATCGACAGATGGCACTGTTTGATTTATGTTCGCGCAATTAGATGTATCCTGCCGCAGTACTTAGTTACCCGCTTATTTATGTCAATTGAGTTTCACTTCGAGTGAATAAACGAGTTATGTTTACGTGAGTGTGTATCATGTCTAACACTGGTTCTTCCCAGGACAGAGGTTTTTCCAAACCTAACTTTCAATAAGTATTATTTACAATCTATATTGAATCAAAAAGTTTCCAATTCTAGTGAATTCCTGAAGTTTTTAAAGTCCAGATTTAGAGCGTTGGAGTTTTAAGAACCTAATAAACATGACACTTAACCAAAGGAAAGAGTAGAGAAACATGAAGTATTCAAGGTCTCCACTGTACTTGTCAGTTTTGTTCAGAGAGTCACTTATTACATCAATATTAGAAGTTTTGTAAGGAAAATTACGGAAAACGTTATGCATTACGAAACAAAGATTATGTTTCAATAGTTTTGGAAATAACCATAATCATCACATTAAACACGCGGTACAGTTTAAATACAGTCCACTATTTGCAGTTGAGTGTGAGTTGCGGGCTTATGTGCTGAACCAATTGTCGTGAAATCTGCATGTGAGAAGAGTTGACATTCACAACTGGTCAGAACTAGCAAATTTAAAGCTAGCTGATCCAGGACTTAATAAGATTGACAACTTACTCGGTTCATGCACAGATTTGATTAAGGTGGATGCGTCGACCGTCCGCCCATACATTTTTTAACCAAAATATTCACTAAACACAGACACTCTTTCTTTAAAACTAATAATTTTATCACTTCTCTACAATGAAATGTTTGACATTTATAGGCAATAACTTACATTATGTACTGAGAAAAACAATAGTGAATTCCCGGAAAAATTTTACACTTCTTTAGTAGTGTGCGTGACTTTTGACAAGCAAACGAAAGGCGACGTTTAAACATTGGCACGCAGATAGCAGATAGATGGCATCCAAGTGATCTTAAATAATTCTGAGAAATCAATATCTTAAGTTCAATAATTGGTTAATTTCCTTTCCAACCGTTAAAAAACAGTATAAAATGACATAAAACTATAGTTCATAAAAGATAGCTTGATCTCTGCGACAGCTGTCAGTAAAATCACGCCTATGAAGTCCTGAATTTCTTAGTAGTATAGACACACAGTACCTGTCAATGTCATACTTTTTGGTTGCCTGGAAGAGATCGCTATGTAGTGATAAGGCCGCCAAATTGTACTTACATAATATTTTAATCTGCTTTGTGTTTTGTTATCTGTATATTTGTTTGTGATGTACAATAAAAGTATATTCATTCATTTATGGGCATGCCGACCTAATTAGTGCATAATTAGTGCATCATAATGACCTTAGACACCTATGTTTTTTTGTAAACAATTTATTACTTATTATTGTTGTGTGGCAACATAAATACCAAAAGTCGTAGGTAAAGCGACGTTGCCGCCTTCCTGACAATAAACTGATAAGAGTACTAACCTATTCCTGACCTTGAATTGACGAAACAAAAGCGTTGCCAAACTTCGTTCACTTGTTTGACTTGTTATAAAATATATTCTCATTTCGGTGACAACCGCTATGATTTGCTCGCGGAATTTCTTGTGTATTATACATATTTTGTATGTATGTTTTCATTGATTCGAATTGCAATATTTTTCTAATATATATTTGAAACTATATTGTAAGTTATCGTAGGTATAGTAATTAATTACTCTAAAAACGCAATTATGTTTTCGGTAGTATTATTAACAGCAGGCTGGCCCGTGATTTTTCTGAAATATCGTCACAATACTGATTGAATGACGGATTTATATTTTTGTTTTACTAAAAGCTTTTGTTGAGTGCTTCGAAATTAGGAAATATTATTTTCAAACTTCCTGGTTATTATCACAAAATAAATCGTGTTATAATAATAATATAATAATAATAATAATAATAATAATAATAATAAATAAGGCGTAGGGAAGTGACGACCCCATCGCCCGCTGACGAAACAGTTAAGTGACAAAACTGCTACGTCGGTGCAGTCAGTCAGCGCCTTGCCAAGAGGTGTGAGCGCCGTGCCTCGGCAGTACTCAGGGTGCAAAGGCCCGTTTGTGCTTACGGCCGTACAATGATACAATAAAACGGTGCCGGGCCTGGGCGTCTCCCGCTAATTGGCGCCCAAAAATGGATGATGGATAAGATTGGAAAACGTATAGGGCCGCTGCCTGGGGGTCGCCGGGGCGCGTCTGGAGCTGGCGCTGGACGCGGCAGCATGCGGGCCGCCAGCCGAGCGCGAGGAGCTGCAAGATCACCTAACAGCCCCCCGCATCCATCATCCCCACCAGACGGCTTGATGTCGGCAGGGTCCTCTCGGACTCGGCAAGCGGCATCCGCCGCTGGTGGAGTGCGCCGCATGCGTTGGACAAGGGATATGAACGCAAACGCAATGCGGGCGTACTATAGGGCGAAAGGGGAAGAAACTGCGGGGATAGCGTATCGGGCTCGGATGCATTGCTTTTTTGCTGAGCTGGAGCCGTCTATTCCCGTCACGGAACAAAACCTGGCAGACCGAGTTCGGTACATCATGCGCTCGAAAATATTCGATGATGCCGAGCTCGAACGACTACGACGTGAGGCCATTCCCTCATCGAATGAATTGGCTACGGCTGGGGATGAGGCTCCTCAGGCGACAGACCAGCTGCCACGAGTAGAAGCCGCCATGGATCTTCCAGTTGTGGGTGATTCAGACGATGATGAAATGGTCTCCCACGAACTAGAGCAAATGAGGAGTATATTGGAAGAGGCGATTTTAGAAACGCGCAGCATGCCTCTCGAAAATCGACCGCGACTTCCCCGCATACCCCTAAGCAAGCGAAATCGGGCTGTCGTGAGGGCTCTTAACCCAATGCTGGTAACCTATTTGGAAGCCAGCCGGGACCTTTGCGAGACGGACTCAGTTCTTTTTGGCGCCGCAGTGGCAGCTTGCCGTATTATTGGCGCCAAACTTCCCATGGCTGGACGCGCTACTAAACAAAGTAGCGCCATCCCAGCCTGGAGAAAAAGAATTGAGGACCGTATCGCAAAGGCAAGGGCCCTTATCGGCAGACTGATAAGCTTCAGGTCGGGTAATAATAGACCGAGGGTTGTGCGCACCGTTAGAATGGCGTTTGCTGGGACAAATATCAGTTTGTCCCAGCCGGATATCACGCAGAAACTAACGGAGCGCATAGACGACCTGAAGCAAAAGATTGCCGCTTGGGGGAAGCGGATTCGCCGATTTACCGAGAGGTCAAGGCGGTTCAACCAGAATCGTCTCTTCCAGAGTGATCAGAAGAGGCTCTACAAATCATTGGAGCGACCAGAGGTATGTGGAGCGGGCCCAGGACCGGATCAGGCTAACACTGTCGCATTTTGGCGTGGCCTGTGGTCAGAGCCCGTAAACCACAGCGAGGGCCCTTGGACGGAAGTTGTGGCGAGTCAGTGTGCGAGTATTACGCCCATGGACCCCGTCATCATAACGCCGGATGACGTAGCTGAGGCGGTCCGTAGAGCCCCGAACTGGAAAAGTCCGGGACTCGACGGACTGCATCACTACTGGCTGAAGGGGTTCATGGTGTGTCACGCTGTGCTCGCCCGTCAGTTTCAAGAGGCTCTCAACCAGAAGTCGCTCCCTAGCCTCTTCACTACTGGGATCACTCATTTGGTTCCTAAAGACCAGGTTACCACAGACCCGAGCAAATACCGCCCCATTACGTGTCTACCCACCATATATAAGACACTGACATCCATTTTGAGCGCGAGAATCACTCGTCACCTGGAGCTAAATCAGGTGATGTCACGCGCTCAAAATGGATGTCGGGGCGGTGGTCGTGGAACTAAGGAACCACTCCTCATTGACGCGGTCATTGGCAAAGTGGTGAAACGCAACCGTCGGAACTTCTCCGCCGCCTGGATAGACTACAGAAAGGCATTCGACTCGGTGCCCCATACATGGCTAAAGAGAGTCCTCGAGCTGTACAAGATAGACTGTACAGTGAGAGACTTCCTCGAGCTGTGTATGGGGCAGTGGAGTACGATCCTTTGTCATCTGGGTGAGCGGATGATGGCTGCGGAGAACCACATAAGGATAAGAAGGGGTATCTTCCAGGGCGATTGTCTGAGTCCAATCTGGTTCTGCCTCTCCCTGAACCCTCTCAGTACCTTACTGGAGGGATCCGGGAGAGGATTTCAGCTACGGAAAGGAGGGACAAAAGTGACCCACCTTTTCTATATGGATGACCTTAAGTTATTCGCCTCCAGTCGCTCCCATCTTGTGGAATTGCTAAAAATCACTTGTGAGTTTAGCAGTTCCATTGGAATGGAGCTGGGGACGGATAAGTGTGCGGTCCTCCATGTTGAGAGGGGAAGGGTTGCTAACTCTGAGGGCATAGATTTATCTATGCCCGTCAACTTAAGGACCCTTTCCGAGGCTGAAACATACCGATACCTGGGTATGTCACAGAACATCGGTATCGATGAGGCTGGTGTGAAACAGTCAGTTTGCGACGTGTTTTATGCACGCTTGACCAAAGTGCTTAATAGCCTTTTGTCCGGTGTGAATAAGACACACGCATATAACGGTTGGGTCATGCCTGTCCTTATGTATACCTTTGGCATACTCAGGTGGACTCAGACTGAACTTAACGCCCTGGATAGAAAAGTCCGCACTACCATGACGTCCCATAGGATGCATCATCCGAGATCGTCGGTAATGAGGCTGTACTTGCCGCGAAAGCATGGTGGGCGTGGCTTTCTAAGCGCGCTCACTATGCATAATCGTGAAGTGTGCAGCCTCCGTCATTACTTCCTGGCGAGATCGGATGATCCATTCTATAATGACGTCATTTCTAGTGATAAAGGGCTTACCCCTCTATCCTTGGCCAACGAGCAATGGCAGGACCCAGCAGTGCTTAGCATTTCCGACCGGGAGACCGTATGGAAGGAGAAGGAGCTCCACGGGAGGTACTACAGGGTTCTACATGAGCCCTTCGTAGATACAGTCGCCTCCCTCAACTGGCTACGTTTCGGTGACCTCTTCGGGGAAACCGAGGGTTTTGTCTGTGCAATACAGGATCAGGTTATTAAGACCAACAACTATCGGAGATACATCCTAAAGGATGGCACCGTCGACGTCTGTCGAGCTTGTCGCCATCCCGGGGAGTCACTTAGACATGTCATCTCCGGTTGTTCGGCGCTTTCTAACTCTGAGTACTTGCACAGGCACAACCTAGTAGCCAAAATTCTACACCAGGCGCTCGCTCTGAAATACGGTCTCGTGGACCGGAAATTGCCGTATTACAAGTACTTGCCGGAAGCCGTGCTCGAAAATGACCGCGCCAGGCTCTACTGGGACCGGGCCATCATCACAGACAGGACTATTCTTGCAAATAAGCCTGATATTGTGCTGATGGACCGGGCACAGTCAAGGATATTTTTGGTCGACATTACCATTCCGTATGACGAGAACCTCGTGAAAGCCGAAACAGATAAGCAAACAAAATATCTGGACCTGGCTCACGAGGTGACCGACATGTGGGGTGGTCTGCCGACCGAAATTATTCCTGTAGTCGTCTCTGCAAACGGGCTAATCCCAGTCAGCCTCTCGGGTCATCTGAGGCGACTGGGACTCCGTGACGGACCGCTCCGGGCTCAAATGCAGAAGGCAGTGGTCCTCGATACCGCCCGCATCGTCCGTCGGTTTCTTTCCCTTTCCCCCTAACCCTCGGCCGTTTGGTCTCCCCTGCCGAGGGCTTCCATCTGGTTGGATCTTTATTTATTTGTGTATTTTTTTGTATTTATTTTATTTTATTGATATTTATGTATATTTATCTTTTCATTTTAATTTATAATTATATATTTATAGAAACCAACCAGATGAGAAAACTATACAGATACCCCAAAAAAAAAAAAATAATAATAAAGTAAAATAAATAAAGGCGTAGGGAAGTGACGACCCCATCGCCCGCTAATGTAACAGTTATGTGACAAAACTACTACGTCGGCGCAGTCAGTCAGCGCCCTGCCTAGAGGTGTGAGCGCCGTGCCTAGGCAAAATTGTGGGTGCAAAGGTCCGCTTGTGCATAAGACCGAACCACGAAACGGTGCCGGGCTTGGGCGTCTCCCGTTATTTGGCGCCCATAAATGGATGATGGTACAAAGAGGAACGCGCATAGGGCCGCTGCCTGGGGGGTCGCCGGGGCGCGTCTGGAGCTGGCGCTGGACGCGGCAGCATGCGGGCCGCCAGCCGAGCGCGAGGAGCTGTACGATCACCTAGCAGCCCTCCGCATCCATCATCCCCACCAGAAGGCTTGGTGTCGGCTGGGTCTTCTCGGACTCAGCAAGCGGCACCCGCCGCTGGTGGAGCACGTCGCATGCGTTGGTCACAAACAATGAACGCAAACGCACTGCGGGCGTACTTTAGGGCAAAAGGGGAAGAAACCGGATGTTTGGCATATCGGGCTCGGATGCATCGCTTTTTTGCAGAGCTGGAGCCATCTCTATCCGTCACTGAGCAAAACCTGGCAGACCGAGTTCGGTACATCCTGCGCTCCAACATATTTGGTGACGCCGAACTCGAACGACTACGACGTGAGGCTGTTCCCTCATCGGATGGAAATGCTACGGCTGGGAATGCGGCGCCACTAATTGCGCAGCAAACTGCAAACGTGGACGCTGCCGTCAATATTCCATTTGTGGTTGATTCAGACGATGATGGAATAGTCCCCCACGAACTAGAGAAAATGAGGAGCATATTAGAAGAGTTGATGCTGGAAACGCGCAGCATGCCTCTCGAAAATCGACCGCGACTTCCCCGCATACCCCTTAGCAAGCGAAATCGGGCTGTCGTGCGGGCTCTTAACCCAATGCTGGTGACCTATTTGGAAGCCAGCCGGGACCTTTGCGAGACGGACTCTATTCTTTTTGGCGCCGCACTGGCAGTATGCCGTATTATTGGCGCCAAACTTCCCATGGCTGGACGTGCTACTCAACAAGGTAGTGCCATCCCAGCCTGGAGAAAAAGAATCGAGGGCCGTATCTCAAAGGCAAGGGCCCTTATCGGCAGACTGACAAGCTTCAGGTCGGGTAATATTAGACCGAGAGTTGTGCGCACCGTTAGAATGGCGTTTGCTGGGACAAATATTAGTTTGTCCCAGCCGGATATCACGCAGAAACTAACGGAGCGCATAGATGACCTGAAGCAAAAAAATAGCTGCTTGGGGGAAGCGGATTCGACGATTTAGCGAGAGGTCAAGGCGGTTCAACCAAAATCGTCTCTTCCAGAGTGATCAGAAGAGGCTCTATAAATCATTGGAGCGACCAGAGGTATGTGGAGCGGGCCCAGGACCGGATCAGGCTGACACTGTCGCATTTTGGCGTGGCCTGTGGTCAGAGCCCGTAAACCACAGCGAGGGCCCTTGGATGGAAGTTGTGGCGAGCCGGAGTGCAAGTGTTACGCCTATGGACCCCGTCACCATAACGCCTGAAGACGTGGCTGAGGCGGTCCGTAGGGCCCCGAACTGGAAAAGTCCGGGGCTCGACGGGCTGCATCATTACTGGCTGAAGGGGTTCGTAGTGTGTCACGCTGTGCTCGCCCGACAGTATCAAGAGGCTCTCGATCAGAAGTCGCTCCCGAGCCTCTTCACTACTGGGATCACTCACTTGGTTCCTAAAGATCAGGATACCACAGACCCGAGCAAATACCGCCCCATCACGTGTCTACCCACTATATATAAGACACTGACATCCATTCTGAACGCGAGAATCACTCGTCACCTGGAGCTAAATAAGGTGATGTCACGCGCTCAAAATGGATGTCGGGGGCGGTGGTCGTGGAACCAAGGAACCACTCCTCATTGACGCGGTCATTGGCAAAGTGGTAAAACGCAACCGTCGGAACTTCTCCGCCGCCTGGATAGACTACAGAAAAGCATTCGACTCGGTGCCCCATGCATGGCTAAAGAGGGTCCTCGAGCTGTACAAGATTGACTGTACAGTTAGAGACTTCCTCGAGCAGTGTATGGGGCAGTGGAGTACGATCCTCTGTTATCAGGGCGAGCGGATGATGGCTGCGGAGAACCACATAAGGATAAGAAGGGGTATCTTCCAGGGCGATTGTCTGAGTCCAATCTGGTTCTGCCTCTCTCTGAACCCTCTCAGTACCTTACTGGAGGGCTCCGGGAGAGGATTTCAGCTACGGAAAGGAGGAACAAAAGTGACCCACCTTTTCTATATGGATGACCTCAAGTTATTCGCCTCCAGTCGCTCCCATCTTATGGAATTGCTAAACATCACTTGTGAATTTAGCAATTCCATTGGAATGGAGCTGGGGACGGATAAGTGTGCGGTCCTTCATGTTGAAAGGGGAAGGGTTGCTAACTCTGAGGGCATAGATTTATCTATGCCCGTCAACTTAAAGACCCTTTCCGAGGCTGAAACATACCGATACCTGGGTATGTCACAGAACATCGGTATCGATGAGGCTGGTATGAAACAGTCAGTTTGCGACGTGTTTTATGCACGCTTGACCAAAGTGCTTAACAGCCTTTTGTCCGGTGTGAATAAGACACACGCATATAACGGTTGGGTCATGCCTGCCCTCATATATACCTTTGGCATACTCAGGTGGACTCAGACCGAACTTAACGCCCTGGATAGAAAAGTCCGCACTACCATGACGTCCCATAGGATGCATCATCCGAGATCGTCGGTAATGAGGCTGTACTTGCCGCGAAAGCATGGTGGGCGTGGCTTCTTGAGCGCGCTCACCATGCATAATCGCGAAGTGTGCAGCCTCCGTGATTACTTCCTGGCGAGATCTGATGATCCATTCTATAATGACGTCATTTCTTGTGATAAAGGGCTTACCCCTCTATCCTTAGCCCACGAGCAATGGCAGGACCCGGCAGTGCTGAGCATTTCCGACCGGGAGACCGTATGGAAGGAGAAGGAGCTCCACGGGAGGTTCTACAAGGCTCTACATGAGCCCTTCGTAGACACAGTCGCCTCCCTCCACTGGCTACGCTTCGGTGACCTCTTCGGGGAAACCGAGGGTTTTGTCTGTGCAATACAGGATCAGGTTATTAAGACCAACAACTATCGGAGATACATCCTAAAGGATGGCACCGTGGACATCTGTCGAGCTTGTCGCCATCCCGGTGAGTCACTTAGGCATGTCATCTCCGGTTGTTCGGCGCTTTCTAACTCTGAGTACTTGCACAGGCACAACCTAGTAGCCAGAATTCTTCACCAGGAGCTCGCTCTGAAATACGGTCTCGTGGACCGGAAATTGCCGTATTACAAGTACTTGCCGGAAGCCGTGCTCGAAAATGACCGCGCCAGGCTCTACTGGGACCGGGCCATCATCACAGACAGGACTATTCTTGCGAATAAGCCTGATATTGTGCTGATGGACCGGGCACAGTCAAGGATATTTTTGGTCGACATTACCATTCCGTATGACGAGAACCTCGTGAAAGCCGAAACAGACAAGCAAACAAAATATCTGGACCTGGCTCACGAGGTGACCGACATGTGGGGTGGTCTGCCGACCGAAATTATTCCTGTAGTCGTCTCTGCAAACGGGCTAATCCCAGTCAGCCTCTCGGGTCATCTGAGGGACTGGGACTACGTGGCGGACCGCTCCGGGCTCAAATGCAGAAGGCGGTGCTCCTCGATACCGCCCGCATCGTCCGCCGGTTTCTTTCCCTTTCCCCCTAACCCTCGGCCGTTTGGTCCCCCTGCCGAGGGCTTGCATCTGGTTGGGCTTTTATTTCATAATCATATCATCATAAACACTCACGCCTGTCACCCAGAGGGGTAGGCAGAGACTACAGACTTCCATTTGGCACGATCCTGACACACCTCTCTCGCCTCCTTATCTACATCCATACACCTACGCATGCATGCTCGTCGGTTAAGGGTACTCCTAATTTGGCCCGTTTTCAATAAATCGCCAATTTGGTCGATAAATTTTCGCCTAGGACGTCCCTTTCCGACTCTGCCATTCACTTCTGCAACATAAATTTTCTTTGTCACTCTTTCCTCATCCATTCTTTCCACATGACCAAACCACCGAAGCATTCCTTTCTTAATCCTGGTCACAACATCATCTTGCAAACCACACTCTTCTCTTATCACACAATTTTTCACCCTGTCATTCAGATTCAGCCCTAACATACTCCTTAGCGACCTCATTTCTACTGCATTTATTCTACTCTCGTGCTTCTTCTGCCATACCCAACTTTCACTACCATACGTTAAAGTAGGGACCAACACAGCATTGTGAATTGCCATACGTGCCTTTTTTGACACATTTTGACTCTTCACAATAGAGTGCAGGGCTCCATTTACTCTGTTTCCTGCGTTCACTCGTCGTTCTATATCCTTATCATATCTCCCATCCCTGCTAAATACGCAACCCAAATATACAAACTCATCTACTTGCTCGATCAACTCCCCTTCTATTCTTATTTCACATATCGTTTTACTTTCATCTCTTTCAAAAACCATAATTTTTGTCTTACTTGCGTTCACTTTCATACCCCTTTCTTTTAATGATCTGTTCATTAATGTAACCATCATTTGCAACTCAGCCGCCGACGATGCAAGAATAACTTGATCATCGGCGTACAAAAGGCATTTGATGGTTAACTCACCCATTCTTAATCCGCATTCTTCAACTTTCAAATTTTGCAAACAACTGTCCATAAATAGGTTGAACAACCACGGGGAAGCCACACAGCCCTGTCTGACACCTTTATGGATGCCAAACCAGTCCGAGTAGACCCCGTTGATCCTAACACAAGCACTAGAGTCCCTATAAAGAGATTCCAATGCCTGTATCAAGCCAGCGCTCAACCCAAATGAGTTCAGTGTTTGCCATAGCACATTCCTATCCACTCTGTCATAGGCCTTCTCCAAGTCCATGAACGCACAAAAAACCTTTTGGTTTTTGGCCAAAAACTTCTCCGCGATCATGCGCATGGAGAAGACTTGATCTGTACATCCCATTCCCTTTCTAAATCCCGCTTGCACATCCCAAATTTTTCCATCGGTTTCTTTCATGACCCTTTCAATTAGTACCTTGGCATACAGTTTTCCCACGATGCTAAGAAGGCTGATACCGCGGTAGTTTTTACAGTCCTGCTGCGACCCTTTTCCCTTATATACTGGGACTATCACGGCTTTGCACCAGTCTCCCGGTACCCGCTTCAGTTCCCAGCATAAATTAAACAAGGTGTGCAGCAGGCCTGCCACCACTTCCTCTCCAGCCCTTAGCATTTCGAGTGAAACTCTATCATATCCGGCAGCCTTACCTGCTTTCATGCTTCTCATTGCTTTCATTATTTCATCTATACTTATCTCGCTACCTTCTTCCTCTTCTTTCGGAGTTCCTATTTCATTCAGTTCATACGTTGTCTCCTCACTCATAAACATGCTTTCAAAATATTCCTTCCATCTCTTTAAACTCAAAACTTCATCATTCAGAATATAGCCATTCTCATCTCTTATAGCATTCATTATAGGCTGTTTTGAACATCCCCTGGCAGTTCTTACGAGTTTCCAGAACATTTTAATATTTGCCTGGAAGTTATCCGATATTCTTCTATCATTCTTATCCGTTCTTTCTTGCTTTTTCCTTTCAACTACTTCTTTTACTCTTTTATTTAGATGTCTAAAGACTGCCTTTTTTCTTTCAAAATCATCATTCGTACCGCTTGAATTACCAGCCTTAGTTGCTAGTAAATCTAGCCATGCTCTCTTCTTTGCTTCAACTTCCGTACGTATCTCATCATCCCACCATAACGTATTATTTTTCCTTTCATTCTTTCTTTTACTAACACCACATACTTCGGTAGCTGCATCTACTAAACCTTTCTGAACATTTTGCCATACATTCTCCAAGTCTAACTCATTCATACATAATTCATCCAAACCACTTACGTTTTCTTTCAGTCTACATTTAAACTTGTTTTTCTCACCTTCATCTTGTAATCTTTCTGTTCTAATACGCTGTAACGCAGTGGTAGACACGGATGACCGATGGCGCCACCGCCTGAATAGACCATTAATTCGGCATAAAACCAAAAAATGATCCGTTCCTACGTTTGACCCCCGGTAAGCCCTTGTATCCACCACTGCGCCCCTCAATCTTTCATCCACAATTATGAAATCTATCATGCTTCTATCATCACCTCTTTCCCAAGTGTACATGTGAATCCTCTTGTGGCGAAAGAAAGTGTTCGTCACAAAAAGATTCTTTTCCATACATACAGTGAGGAGGCTTTCACCATTCTCATTTATACTTTCATCACCAAACGTTCCCAATATCCTTTCATAACCAAGCCTCCTCACCCCAACTCTTCCATTAAAATCTCCTAGCATAACAACATTTTCATTTCCCTTACATTTCATTAATACCATCCTTACCATTTCCCAAAACTGCTCTCGAATATGAGTGGGCTTAGACATGTCTGGGGCGTAGACCCCTAGTACAAACAACTTCTTTAAGCCCACTTTCAATCGTATCCATAGCAGTCTTGGGCTTACACATTCATACTCTTTCACACATTGCACCATTCTTTCTGATAGGATGATCCCTACTCCCTGGCATGCCCGCTCGAGCTCGTCTACACCAGACCAGTATGCGGTATACATGCCATGTGTAGTGACATCCTTCCCCTTCCGTTTCGTCTCATTTACACATAACAAATCTATTCCTCTATCATACATCACCTCGCATACTTCACCCATTTTATCATTCATTGCTCCACATACATTCAACGTAGCCAGACGGGCCTCTGCAATCCACTTTTCGCCCCTCCGGGAGACAGAACGTGACGGGTGGCGAGCCTCGTCGCCGGTTTTCCTCCCGGAGATTCTTCGCACCCCTGCCCCATTAAAGGGGCGCCGGGAACTCGGGGCCATTTCTTTACTTTGATTCCTCATGGTGCGAATGGGGTGGTATATTTAACGCCGCTACCACGGCGAGGAGCCGAGTCTGTGCTATCGGCTTGTCGCTCATTTAGCACCACCCGGGGGACACGTGTAGGGTGGGCCTAGGATTAGGTGGTCAAAGCCTACGGACGCGAGCGACTTATCCCCTTTTATTTATTTATGTATTTTTGTATTTATTTTATTTTATTGATATTTATGTATATTTATCGTTTCATTTTAATTTATAATTATATATTTAGAGAACCCAACCAGATGAGAAAACTATATAGATACCCCACAATAATAATAAATTTATTCCAGACCCACATATAGTCCATAATATGTTAGTAAATTAGCTTAACCTATGTTAGTCTTAAATTATTACACGTACAATTTTCATAACAATTATTTTTTTTATTTTTGGCACCCCATGACACCAGGCACATGCAAGTGCATACGCATCCAGTGCCCTAGGATGGGACAATCAAATCTATCAGATATTGCCCTCAGAATGCTATTAGAGCTCCCACGAACCCTGCGCATGAGGGATGCTATTCTCTTTCGAATTATGGCATGAAAACCGTGCGTACCGTACGCTGTAAACATCCCTGAAGCGCTACAATACCGCGGAAACCCCATCAGCATTATGAAGGCATTATTATATTGTACTCGAAGGGCATTGTAGGCTCTCTGCGTGTACTTAACCCATAGACTGCACGTGTAAAATGACTGGCAAAAGGCTTTGAAAAGTGTTACCTTAACTTCTTCTGTACAGCGTGCAAAGCTACGGGACAGCATGTTACAGCGAACCGCCAATGCCCTTCTTTCTCTTTCTATGTCCGCATCATCAGTCAGATCCTCAGTTAAAACGTGACCAAGATACCTAAATTGATACACTCTATTTAAATGTACGTTCCTTAATCTAACAGGTGGAATCGTTTCAATTTTTGATCCAGCTCGAAATAACAACACTTCACTTTTTTACATTATAAATGAGACCGTGAGTCTCAGCATAAGTATCACAAATATTAAGTAATGTCCTCAGTGCGTTAATCGATTGGCTCAGCAACACCATGTCGTCTGTATAGCTTATGCTGTTAACGAAATGCCCATCTATTGAGCAGCCGACACCAGCGTTGCTGAGCTCAGCGATTAACTGGTTAATGTACAAGTTGAAGAGCGCTGGTGAAGTTAGGCCACCCTGTCTCACCCCGCACTCTAACTTGTACTCGTTGGACAGTGCCTCTGTCCATCTGACCTGATTTATTTGATGGCCATACCAGTATTTAAATATTTCAATCAACTCGCTTGGTAAAGCTACGTCACGCAGCTTCTTTCACAGAATATCATAATAAACTAGGTCAAATGCCTTTGACAGATCTAGAAAAGCAGCGTAAACTGTTGTTTTCCTACTGGTATAGCACCTAACAGTATGTTTGAGTGTTAATATTGCACTCTCAGTGGAGAGACTCCTTTTAAATCCGAACTGAGCATCATGTAATTTTAGATATCCACTGAGATGCCGCTCAAGCAGACTGTCAAGCACCTTAGCCATGATAGTAGCTAATGAGATGGGCCTATAGTTCTCTTTGTCAGATATATCTCCAGTTTTATTTTTTACTATAGGCACAACAATAGTTCTCATCAGCTGCTCAGGAAGATAGGAATGTCTCATGCAAAGGGTGTAGAAGGTAGCTAGAAGCCTGGAGAGATGAGACCCTGCATGCAGAAGATGCTCAATGCTGAGGCCATCATGCCCTGGCGATTTACCCCTCGTCATATTTTTAATTACGTCGAAAACTTCATTCGGCGTAAAACTAATTGGCACGCCCGCGCCTTTCTGGCCGTCCTCAACATCTGACACTATCCGCGACGAAATGTTCGGTGATATTACTTTAAAATGGCTCATACTCTCCTGGCTCATTCACCCCCTCAATACTCACCGGGATACTCGGCTTAGGATTCACCTTTTTTTGTTTGTTTCCAAAAAAAAAATTTGTACATATTCATTATTTTGACAAAATTTTAGTTTCTGTTTAAATAACTTTTTTGATTCATACATTTCTTTATACAATTTACCACCAATAGGTTTGCCATGCCACACCCAATTTATAAATTTTTGCCTAGCATCCCGGTGAGCATCCCTAACATGTTTATTCCAGCCAACAATACGAACGCCCTCCCGACACTTTCCCTTAGTATAACTGAATACAGCGGCCTCTGACAATGATGCAACAGTTTTATTATACATTACATCTATAGATATTTTATGATCAAGGTTACAACACATTCTATTACAGCAAGGAATAGGAGTATATTCATTTAAAGTATTAATATCTCTCAAATTTTTTAAACAAAGATCATGGTATGTTGCATCCCCAAACTACCTTGTTTATGCTTACCCTATTTTGCGATTCAAATTTAGGTCTGACCATCGACAGGTCACACTGTATCTCCAGTGGGAAGTGATCCGACCAATAAATGTCGTAGTGTATCTCCACACCGACCACCACACTCCAGGCGGCGCTGGTGACGACACAATGATCTAGCCAACGCCTGCTACCGTGCGCCTCACTTATAAAAGTATAGGTATCTGAGTTTTCACCTAATTTCGACATATCAACACAACCAATTTTGATCGAAATAAAAGCTAATTAATTCCTTACCGAAACGTTCTCCAGGATGTGCGTTAAAGTCCCCTAAGATAAAAACAGATTCTACATTTTGATTTTCAACAATCGCCGCAATTTCACTCAGTCACTAAATTCTAACAAATTTTCAGAACATTCCGTTGGCATATAAACACTAAATATAAGCAAAGAGCTGTTTCCTATATTCACTTTAATTGCTACGATACGCTCACTTTTGCACAAAATAACGGAGACCGATCTAAAGACACTCTTTCGCCATAAAAGAGCAACTCCACCGTACGGTTGACCGTATAGGATTCCTGCCGATGTATCTATCGCCGACTTACCGAAGAAACCAAAATCCTGATTTATATTGCCGAGACTCGGTATTTCGTGAGGGAGTAGCCAGGTCTCCTGTAATGTTATAATATCGGCCTTTTTACATAGTGACTTAACACATTCTATGGATCTTTTCAACGACTTACAGTTAAAGCTCAAAAACTTGGCAGGCACTCCATTCAACCGGCTGCCCGGTTTTTTTTCTCAAACTACTTTTTTTTTCTTTTATATATTATTCCTTTTTTACCTTTTCCTTTTTTATTTATATTTTATTTACTCGTTTTTTATTTGTCGCTCTCACGCCTTGGAGCGTTATCATTTCTTTTGTAGAAAGTTACAAATCTTCGGACCGACACACCTTGAGGCCATATATTTTCGTCCGTAAAATCGGACAACTTATGTTTCGGAATAAGGAACTTATAGGCTTCGTATTCCTTTTTCTGCCTCATGTTCACTTTCTCCAAAGCAACTTCCACGTTTGTTTTGCTCATAATATATTTACTTATGTTTTCAACAGAAGCATTTTTGTCAACATTATAAATGTAAAACGGAATTTTAACATCCGCCGCCTTGAAACCGCAATCCAACTCTAGATCTGCTTTTCCTTTTTTCGCCATAAAACGATTCCGCAGCCGTCTTCTTTGCAAAAGAATCCATTCATCCTTTGGTGCTTCTGGTTTCCATTGACGCCACCACATCGGAAAACCTTTTACATCCCGAGCTCATTGTTCTTTCATGTTTTTTATTCGCACTGTTTTGGTTAATCGGCGTAGGCTCGGAGTGCATAGGCGCAGGCGCAGCGGTGTTAGCACAATTGGGTACATTCGTCGAAACCACGGTGAGGGCCTCCACTTGCGACCCGCTGTTCACTGGAGAACTTGCCTCGCAGCGATGTACAGTTAGTGGTGCGACCGAGACAAGAATATCTCGTGAGAATCGGACAGGTACGTCCTTATCAGCGCGAGCTAGTTCATTGACCTCGCTTATAGCGGTTGTTGACCCGCTGTGTATATGCGTTAAACCAATTGGGCCGCTATCTACATTCAAACTGTTGTTTAGTAAATACCGGCGTCTTCTATTGTTTATATTTTCATTTATTTCTAAAAACGGAACTCTTTCTTCCAACATTTCTAAAGTCACGTACTTCTCTTTTATAATTTTCATGTCATTTTTCAAAGTAATGATATCCTTTAGCAGCCTTGTCACGTCTACGTGACCAAAAGTAACCGGCGGTAATTTTTGTAGGTCTTTTGCAACGAATATGGGCATTTTTTCTGGGTCCGTCCTTTTAATTATACTAATAATATCTTCGATATCACGCTGCATCTTTCCTTCTTTCTTGCGCATAATCTTTCGGCTCGTGGTGGTAATAGATTCGAAAAGTAAATTTTTCGCTTGTACCACTTCCTCACTCGCAAACGCAGTAGCACACATACGTATAATGCTTTCTTCATCCAAACATCAGCCTTGTTTTGAATGAAGGCCAATAACTCAGAAGTCACAATATTGTAATTATTACATTTCACTGTATTAGAGGCCATTGCCCCGCCCTCGATTATTAGCGATCGCTTTGTTCTACGTCCGAACACACGCGCGCGCTGAAGCAGACTGCTTATAGATTTGGTGTTATCTCTTGTTTATGAATTATAGTTTCTTACGTGTTGGTTATGAAATGTCTAATTATTGTAATAATTGGTACTGTTACAAATCATCAGTGTTATTAGTTTTGAGTGAATGTATCAGTATAATTAATAACACAATAGAACAAAATAATTAAATAATTAATAACAATAAATATACGAAATTTGGGCGGTGCTACAGTCTCTTCAGCGGTGCCAAGTTGACTGTCGATATATTGAAGTGCTGAAGTGTTTGTACAGTAGGGCTACGATGGCCATCCGAGTACAGAACCAGAGTACGAAACCTATCCAACTGCAGAGAGGTGTAAGACAGGGTGAAGTTATATTCCCAAAACTCTTCACCGCTGCATTGGAAGACGTTTTCGAGCTACTAGACTGGAAAGGATACGGTATTAACATCAATGGCGAGTACATTACTCACCTTCGATTTGTCGACGATATAGTCCTTATGGCAGAATCGCTGGAGGACCTAAGCGCTATTCTCAATGGCCTCAATAGTGCCTCCCAACGGATAGGTCTTAAGATGAACGTGGACAAAACAAAGATCATGTTTAATGTCCATGTCACACCTATGCCGGTAGTTGTTGGGAGCACTATGCTCGAAGTTGTTGACGAGTACGTTTACCTGGGACAAATAGTCCGACTAGGTAAGTCCAACTTCGACCGAGAGGTCAATCGACGGATTCAACTCGGCTGGGCAGCGTTCGGGAAATTACGTTACATCTTCTCGTCAGGTATACCTCAAAACCTGAAAACGAAATTGTACAGCCAGTGCGTGTTGCCAGTGATGACATATGGAACTGAGACGTGGTCCTTCACTGCCGGCCGTATGAGGACACTCAAAGTCGCTCAACGAGCTATGGAGAGGGCTATACTCGGGGTTTCTCTGCGCGATAAACTTAGAAATGAGGATATCCGCAGTGGAACCAGAGTGACCGACATAGCCCAACGGATTAGTAAGCTGAAGTGGCAATGGGCCGGCCATATAGTTCGAAGAACCGACGAACATTGGGGAATAAAGGTTCTCGAGTGGCAGCCTCGTACCGGTAGGCGTAGTGTAGATCTAGATGGAGTGACGACCTGCTAAGACATGCAGGAAGTCGATGGATGCAGGTGGCTCAGGACCGTGCTTTGTGGCGTACTTTGGGGGAGGCCTATGTTCAGCAGTGGACTTGTGAAGGGCTGTAATGATGATAATGATGATCAGATAACCGCAAAGTCTACTTCTACGACTTAATAATTTTCCAATTACATACAAATCCAAATAAACTAAAAATGTTGACTTCAGCGCCATCTTGCGGGAGAATGGCTGGGAACAGTCCGTAGGTTTCGCCTTAACAGTACAGAATACGGAGTTTGGATGGATCCTTTCAGTTCGAGTAGAGTTGGAGCAAGAATATCCCAGCGAAATCATACGTTTGAATATAGATGATTTGTTGAATCAATTGATTCGGAGCTTTTGGAAGTTGAGAATGAACCCTGAACAGCCTTACAAAATTTTATCCGAAAAAGATAAAAGATGTGAGAGTTTATATGTTGCCAGTACAACTGGCATTCCAGATGGTCGCTATATTGTTCGACTTACCTTCAGGGAAAACGATCCTCAATGCCAATATGGAGCTTTAAGAGATATTGCGATCTTTTAGAAATTAGAAGCTGAAATAAGAATCCACGTTTAAAGGGAGAATATTCAAGGGCAATGAATAATTATATAAATCATGGTCATATGAAGATTGTCGACTTAAAATGGTTGGGTCAAACAAATTGTGTTTATTTGCCTCGCCAGGCCAAAGTACGTGAGGATAAAACAACGACCAAAGTGCGAATAATTTTTGATGCCACACTTTTTGATCTCACTTATATTATGTTCAATATGATTGTTAGATACGATTTCATGCGACTAAACCTTGAATTCTTGATTTTTAGGCGCTATTAGAACATACGTACGTGCTTTGCGCTTAAGACGAGGCATGACGCTAAACGCAAGTTTTGTAATACCTCAAAGTATATGATCCACTACAGTAAACAAACTCAGAAAAATATATGAAATTTTCCTGGCTATATGCTAGTTAGATAGTGTGTTGAAAACATGGTACACTAATTTAATACGACGGAAAAAAACTACAAACATACCTCTAAAAATTTCTTTTAACAAGTAAAAACCATACTAGTATACATGCAACAATCCTGATTTTTTGTCAGATTTTTATACATTCAACATATTAATGTTATAATGTTTTAATTTTTTAGTCCAACTAATAGTTTCTTTTTAAATCGCATATTCTTATTTCTGAAATAATACGTACGGATGTTTGCGCAAACGCCTGTGCAATCACTGTCTGCCGATGCCTAGTGCTGTAGAGACGTGTCGTTCGTTTTGTCGCAGTATTTATGTTAATATTTTTTAAGGACGCGTTTACAAAATTGATATAGGTATAGAATCGAACTATTACATTGACACGGGTCACGCACACAAGTGTACGCACGGTTGGCTGAGGGAATCGTAGTCAAATAAAATTATTTTGATAATTTGAAAGATCGAATTTGTTTGTTATTTCTTCTACCTCAAAAATATACTTAGATACGTAGAGTAATTAGACTTAGATACGAAATACGAATACCTACTCTAGAGACTGCTTGGCACTGAAAACCCTCTGCTGGCAGTGAGATGTTAGCTGTGGACTTTGGGCTGGTTTTGTCAGTTATGATAAGACCTTACCTCCGGACTTTACGGAGTGACCTGAAGGTGTACTTTGGTAATCGCTATTGGAACTGGTCGCCGAGTACTACTAGGTATGCCAAGTTTGGGCTTGTTTTGTTAGGTACGATAAGTCCTTACCTCCGGACTTGACGGAGTGACCTGAAGGTGTACTTTGGTAATCGCTATTGGAACTGGTCGCCGAGTACTACTAGGTATGCCAAGTTTGGGCTTGTTTTGTTAGGTATGATAAGTCCTTACCTCCGGACGACGGAGTGACCTGAAGGTGTACTTTGGTAATCGCTATTGGAACTGGTCGCCGAGTACTACTAGGTATGCCAAGTTTGGGCTTGTTTTGTTATGTATGATAAGTCCTTACCTCCGGACGACGGAGTGACCTGAAGGTGTACTTTGGTAATCGCTATTGGAACTGGTCGCCGAGTACTACTAGGTATGCCAAGTTTGGGCTTGTTTTGTTAGGTATGATAAGACCTTACCTCCGGACTTTACGGAGTGACCTGAAGGTGTACTTTGGTAATCGCTATTGGAACTGGTCGCCGAGTACTACTAGGTATGCCAAGTTTGGGCTTGTTTTGTTAGGTATGATAAGACCTCACCTCCGGACTTTACGGAGTGACCTGAAGGTGTACTTTGGTAATCGCTATTGGAACTGGTCGCCGAGTACTACTAGGTATGCCAAGTTTGGGCTTGTTTTGTTAGGTATGATAAGTCCTTACCTCCGGACTTGACGGAGTGACCTGAAGGTGTACTTTGGTAATCGCTATTGGAACTGGTCGCCGAGTACTACTAGGTATGCCAAGTTTGGGCTTGTTTTGTTAGGTATGATAAGTCCTTACCTCCGGACTTGACGGAGTGACCTGAAGGTGTACTTTGGTAATCGCTATTGGAACTGGTCGCCGAGTACTACTAGGTATGCCAAGTTTGGGCTTGTTTTGTTAGGTATGATGAGTCCTTACCTCCGGACTTTACGGAGTGACCTGAAGGTGTACTTTGGTAATCGCTGTCGGAACTGGTCGCTTAGTACCGCTTCTAGTACTCAGCGACCAACGGCAGTGATAATTACGATAATTGGGCATTCGCCGTCGAAAATTTCCTGACCCAGGAGGACATCGTTATTCGGAACAGCGACGCGTTAAGGGCCTATACTACCTCAGCTCAAATTCTAATTTCGCCCCCGTTTCCTGCGCGTCGTATGCTATCTACTGACATGTTTAAATGTACATATGTACAGGTTTCGAGATTAACGACGAGTGGGTTGGCTCACTTTTGTTGATTATGGCGATAGAACACTACGGTATAAACGTTAGTACAGACGCTATTAAGACGAAATTAATGGGTAAGAGTGCAGATTTCGAAATCACTAAGTCTAAGAGCACATTAGTGCGACAAATACATATCATCAAAATGCGCGCCAAACAGGTAAAAACAAAAATGGCGTCGGCCATTTTGATACGAATTCTAACAAGCTGGTGAAAATCATCAAATTAATGTTATAAATGTAAAAGAATAGGACACTGCAAAAATCAGTTTCGATATTCTAATACACAGAGTGAAAAACAAACGAATGCGTTTAGTGCAATGTTATTGACTGGTGAATTCAGTGATAAAGACTGGTATGTAGACTCGGGCGCGAGCACTCATTTGATTTCCGGTTCAAACAAAAATTTGTTGACAGATATTTCGATCAATACAGAAACTCGAGGTATTGTAGTGGCAAATAAAGAAAGTGTACCGGTTTTATGTTTTAGAAATCTACAGATAACTACACGTGTTAGAGATTCAGAGTATAACATAATAGTTAACAGTGTTTTATGTAAACATAACCTAACGAAAAACCTTTCCGTAAGTAAAATGATATCCAGTGGCAGCAGTCTTGTATTTAAGGAGAATGTGTGTCATGTTTGTAATGAGAAAAAGATGCATTGGTGAGCCAAGCAAGTGACGGTACATGGCGTGTTAAAAAAAATAACTTGTAAATAAACCCAAATCTCGCAACTCAGTTCTTCTATCGTAGAAAGTTTTAAGATGCAGTTCTCTACTACATAGTCTCTACTTAAGGATCCTTCTGTTTTAAGTTATGACGTAGTTAGCTAACCTAACAACATCTTATAGTGACCATATCAATGTTAAAAATCTTTTTTGACTTGGCCATCGCATGAAAACACAATGTATCTCACAAGTAATACATATTATAATAACTTAGATTGTTTCGTGCGATACGTGCTATACCTAATATAGTACACTGATTCATTCACTGCAAATGTAACTTTGTAATCCTATATATTTATATGGGATTACAAACTTATTTATGCAGTTAGGGTATCTAGAAAACTAGACCGAAATATAAAAATATTTTAGTTTTTCCTCGATTTATACACTAAACACGAATTGTATTCTAAATTTGAAGCTTCTATGTCTGCTAAAGGTGCCTTAGAGTTTTGATGATCGGTCAATCAGTCAGTGAGTGACAACACTGAGAAACTGACTAGTTATAAATCTCAAACTACTGGCTCAAATTGAATGAAATTTGAAATATACCATGTTTAATGATTTCTTAAATTCGAACACTACACAGTGAATAAAACTATATTTACGGAATTTATCCCATTTAATCATCTATTTTAACTTAGTTTTTTAATTCCCGATCTTTCGGGTGCTTTATTACAGCATCCATGGTCACGGTGGGGGGGGGGGACTGGACTGGAGTATTAATGTATTTGTGTAATGTTAATAAAACCAGATATAGCTTATGCTATTAATTTCCTTAGTCAGTATAGTAATTGCTTTTTTTGTAGGATGGGCTGACCAACGAGCACACAGTCCACCTGATGGTAAGTGGTTGCTGTGGCCCATAGACATCTACATCTATCCTCGATTACAAATCAAAATGCAGATGCGTTGTCACCCGTGAGGACTAAGATGAAATGCCTCGTTCCCAGTTACAAGGGTCTCCGGTTGTCTACACTCACCATACGAAACACAGTAGCATTATTTTACGCTGGTATTCTGTAAGATCGTGGTCCTTCACCGGTCGAGCCGACCCATTCGTGCTACAACTGTACTACTAATATAACTGCAGCATGGCTCTACCTCGTGTAATGATAATGGTTTAATTAAGCTATTAAAACGGGTCTTAAAAACTAAATATTATGGATTAAAGTATGTAAAAGATTATCGTGATATGAAAGGTTATGTTGATGCAGATTGGGCTTCATGTCATCATGTGCAATAGATAGAAAGTTATATACTGGGTTCATTTTTACCATGTCTGGAAGTCAAATATCTTATGAGTGCAGAAAACTAAAAAAATGTTGCATTGTGCAGGTACCGAGCTTTTGAGTATATAGCTCTCTTCAAGACATATGAAGAGGCAATTCACTTAAAGATAATAAAATTCAAAATATGCTAGTTATCTTGTTAAGTGATAACCAAAGTTCACAAAAGTTAGCATCTAATCCTTTGTTCCACTGAAGTACAAAATATATAGATGTTAGGTATCATTTTGTAAGGGAGTGTTCAGCAAATAAGTTAATAACCTATTTATCTGCTGCTGAGTTGGTAGCGGATATGTTAACAAAAAAGCCTGTGTACTGTAAAGCAATATAAATTTATGAAAATAAGATAAGGTTGTTACAAATAAAATAATTTATTTATTTTGGAAAAACAATTATTTTGAATATGTATGTATCTTTGGGTTATTATTATTTTTATAAGTGGGGTGTTATCCGTAATCTATGGCTGTATAAAAATAATAACTTGTCTACAGCGCCACTTTGTAACTTACAGTTTTCAAATAGAGAGGAATTACTATACTCTTTGGATAGTACGTTCCAAAACGCTACACCAGTTTAAAAAAAAATAAATGCCTCTTGTGTAGTATGCAGGATTTGTTTTAATTGTTACGTTTGGCAGATAGATTTATGATCGTATTGCCAGACATTTCTTAGAACACATGAGATAAAATGATTGTTTATGATATTATTATGTTGATTATAACGGAATATGCGTGTTGTGGTGTGTGCAGGCGCAGGTGTCGATGTGGTCGCGCACGGCGCTCGCGGAGCTGGCGCTGCGGCTGGGCGCGGCGGGCGACGTGCGGGCGGCGCTGCGGGGCGCGGCGGGCCAGCTGGCTGCCCGCGCGCGATACTCCGCCGAGCCGCGCCTGCACGTGCGCGCGCACCTGGACGCGCATCAGCCCGCCGCGCTCTGCGTGCGCCTGCACACCGACGACCACCACCGCTGGTACGTGCCTCACGTAGCGCCGTACGCTCCGGCGTGGGTTGCGAGCTCGTCGCACAGATGTTCTAACATCGCCACTACGTCGTAGTAGCTGGTACCTCTCACATTCACAACTTTTTGCAAATATATTGTAATGTCTTTCAGACCGGCTGTTACGATGCCCAGTCTTTAATGACATCATTCAATTTCGATTTTAGTTAGTAACATCGGCACGACGAGATTGTAATGATCGAGTGTATTATGGACAAAAATACATATTCTTTATTTGCTTACTCTATAGTCCGATAGGATAGTAATCTGACACCGGCGTGAGATGAGTGTAGAGAACCGTAGACCTTTTTTACTGGAAACGAGACATTACATACTCATGGGTGACAATGCGTCTGTAAAGATAGATATCTATGGGCCACAGTATCTACTTACGATGAAGTAGACTGTACGTTGATTTGTCGGTTGAGCTTTATTAAGAGATAGTTGTCGCGCAGGAGCAACGTGACGCTGAGCAGCAAGCTGGGCGCCGCCGCGCGCAGCGTGCGGCGGACACGCGACGTGCGCGTGCTGCAGGCCGGCCGCACGCTGGCGCTGGGCGCGCGCAACGACGCCGCGTGCCGGGAGCTCTAGTGCTCGTGCGCACGTACGCCGAACCGCTCCATACCAAATACTGCGCATGAGTCTTGCTGGCGGCCGCTCGCTGCACCATCCTCTGAAAAATCACTCGACGTATATTAAATTGCGGGTGGGCGTGGCTTATCAGTTGCTCTACTAACGAATTTAGTTCGAGCACGGTCACTACCAATATACTGATTAATAGTTACATTGCTCGGCCTACGCTTTGACGAACGGAATGGCGTTATATAATTAAGCGATTTATATGATTTAAATTATTTCAGACCAAAAAGCTACGTAATAAATTTCTTTATAAAACATTCTTCAGGAAATTTTTGACTGTGCGTTTCGAACCTTAACAAAACAAAACAAAACAAAATATCATAAACTTTCAACGATGACTTAACCAAATAACCCTTAATAATGACACAAATAAACTAGCCACAAGTATATGAACTGGTTTGATATTAATATATATTATGCCAGGTTGTAGCGCACATAAACCCCTTCAAGTAATACTTCTTTATTTTATTTGCGACCCTGGTTCTGAAGCTCTTTATCGAAGATCTAGTTTAATATAATACAGTCAAATAATACGTCGTCGAAGACCTCCGTCATTTTTGAAACTGTTGAAATAAAACCATTTACACCAAACTGCCATATCTTACGTCTTACCATCGATCGATAGTGTACAAACTCTTGTAAAGTAATTTCAAACGCCAGCATTCAACTTTATGCAAAGCTAATTTTTTATGTTTGTAAATAATTAAAATTCCAACATTATAGTCAACCAAATCTAAGAAATACATTTTGACAGTTGTCAGACTTATTGTAACAAGCATGCCAACCAAAAATGGGAACGTAATATTTGATTCTTAAAAAAATCGATATCGATTATTTAGAGTTGTGTTGTTACTGCTCATTTCTAGAGGCAAAGTTATAAAACTTTAAGATTGAAACTAGATTAAAAACAAATTTATTCAGTCACTCTCAGTACTAACTAGTTGAGCTGTCGTTGTTTACATTAATTATTATTTGATTTTCAATAATGCAGTCAAAATTAATGTCTCTTTCAAAGACTTCCATAATCATTTTTTTTGGTTTTCTCTACCACTGTTGCCCAGCGATCCTTGTGACGTGCACACGTGCTGCGGCGGATATTGTGTAGTATAGTCCAGAAAGTTAAAGTCGAGTCGCAAGATAAGAAGACAAACACAAAATCGAAAGAAAGAAATTTAGGCTGACAAAGTAACAAAAATATACTTGTTTTATTCACGATTCATGTAATTTAAGGAATTTTGAAAATAAAAATTTAATTAAACAAATAATACATTAAAAAATTAATGATTCGATTATTTGACTATTTTGCCGATTATTTGAATATTTTTGCCGATTATTTGAATATTTTTGCGGATTATTTGAATATTTTTGCCGATTATTTGAATATTTTTGCCGATTATTAGCATAGCAATGAATTTTAATCATTCAAACACTATGGTAAGGTACATAGCGACATATTGAAACGACAAAGTTGAATGTTATTTTTATATTTTGCGAATTTAAATTAGTATAAAAAGTTATAAACTTTGTAATGAAATCAAATTCCTCAAAAGGTATTTTAAATCGTAAAGTACGCTTGTGCAAAGTTACTGGGAATGATTAATGTGAAACGTCAAGGTATTTCTTAGTGCTGGTTTACTATAGTAATGTACATTGATATCGCGACGTGCCTATATAATATATTGCATTCCAAATTCAAATTTTACAGATAAAATCAGAAGCAGTCACTTTTCTTGTACGTGTTTTGCTTAATATAATCATGGATCTAATAACTTTAATATTTTTTATTCTATATACCTCTAATAAATATGTAATTAAAAATGGAATAGCTTTAATAATATATTAAAAATTTTGACTGATGTTAATACCTTAGAATCAATTTTAGTATTTTAATATTCATATACAAATGTAACGACTATAAGCCAAATGATTTTATAAGTATTTTCCTATAGTGCATGTTGTATAATATATTTTCATTCATTTAAAATAAATTTCAATATTTTTTTTAATTTATTATTTCATTTTAAGTACACCCGTCGTCAACATTAAAACTTTATTTTTAGTTTTCTGCCCTGTAATGTTTTCGTTTCAACTTCAATAACACAACACATTTTTCTCTCTAAAAAATCACTGTCGCTTGCTCAGAGTCAAAATATTTTAGTAAAAGGTTAGTAAAAAAAAAACACCGACTAAACTACGAGCACAAGATGGAATTCGCGCCCATTAAGACAAATTTATGAAACCACTGTACTACCGGGGCATAATTTGCTGAAAAAGTGTAACAACTGGCAGCAGTAGAAAAAAATCCTTTTTTGGCAGGGAGCTTTTCTAACACTTGTTGCAGAAGCTCTAAAATGTGAGCTTCAGAAAGCGTGAGTGGACGCTGAGGTCGGAGAGATCTATTTTATCTCTCGTTTCTGCAAGCACTTTGTTGCAACATCTCGATCCCGGGCTCCAGGCTGCAGTAATCACTACAGCAGCAGAACCGGTTTTAAACGCTTAGATAGATAGACAGATAAATCATTTATTTGTTTCTCCGGTCGCACACGTAAATTCAGTGATTAAACTAGGTAAAAAGAAACGTATTACAAAAAGTTACATAATATTAAGATCTAAAAGTACAGATTAACAAAAGTGAATCCTAGCTCAGCGATTGATATTGCTCAGAGAGTAAACACTGAAGGACTTTAAGTCTACTGTACTAGGTAAGAAAGTCTCCGTTACTTGCTGCCCGTAGATTGTGCATATGTTATCTGCCACTTTTACAGAGTATTTTGTCTTCTGAGGTGCTTTGCATACGACAACGGAACTTGATCATATCTTGTCTTTTGTTTGCTTTTGATAGTTGCATACTCAGCCAATTTATTAGCTCTTTCGTTACCGTTTGTTCAAAAGTGCGCTTTTATCCAGTATAGCCGTATGATGTTCCTTTCTTTTTGTTGTCTATGTTGTTTTGAATTTCTGCAATAATCGGGTGTAGACATGAGGAATCTCTAATACTTACAATTGCGGATCTAGATTCATTAAAAATATTTGCTTTTGGATGTTTTTTCGCATTTAGGAATTCTAATGCATTCGGGAGTTCAGCTTGATAGGCACTGCAATGGTTTTCCAGTCTGAAGCTAATGCTTATTATTTCGGTGTCCTCGTTCCAGATGGTAACAGCTGCTTCCACTTTGTTGTTTAGTTTATTTCCGTCGGTAGAGACATCCATTTGGTCGTTTTTTTATCCACAGCTTGCTGTGAATTTATGTAGTCGAAGTTATATTTGAAAAGAAATTTCGGAGTAGTTTGGTAAGTCGAATGGACTTGTTATTATTTTCTTCAGGAGTGTGTCTATCCGGTAAGGATTTCAAAAGTTTTAGCGCGTTTTCTTTCATAGATAGCAGCATTTTTTCTGGCACTGAGTGTTAAAACAATTATTTTAGTCAATAGTATACTCGATACTAGAGAGTTAGTTTTGTGGCCTTTGCAGATTCTTATGCTGAAAAGTGTTGTCAGTCTATTTAGTAACCGATCATGTTCCGTAGTGTGAACCCAACAACTCGCCCCATGCAACACCGTTGGTTCCACTACAGCTGTATACGAGGGTGACACTGAAAGTTTTTAGAACTGGCCTGGATAATAAAAAAATAAATTCAGAAAACTGAGCTCTTTGCCAATATTATTGTGTACCTATGCTTTTTATTAGTTTGTAATTTGTATACGATTTGGCGTCAAATTGAAAATTGTGTCACGTCAGTACGAGGGGCACCCTGAAATGATCGGGAGTAAGAACAACTACTATGTACGGTGTAGCTAAATTGTATTTTATTGTTTTTCAGGGTATTCTCCGTTAAACTTAATGTACTTTTCCATTCGTGCAAACCAATCATTAAAACAGTAATTCCAGTCTAAAGTTGATGTTGACAAAATGGCTGATTTGTACGCTTCCACTGCTGCTTCGGGGTCTTTAAACCGTTGAACGCGTAATAAATTTTTCATTCTAGGGGATGTAAAGAAATTGTTTGGGCTCAGGTCAGGCCTGTACGGAGGATGGCTCATTAGCTCAACGTTTTCCCGCTTCAAAAAATCATTTGTCTTCCGAGCTGTATGGGAGCTCGCATTATCGTGATGTAAGATGATGCGACATTTCGTGTTATTTTTTCGTAGTACGGCTACCATTTCTGGCAAACAAACCGTGATATACTATATTCAGCGATAACCGTTCTGCGTTACGGTAAGGGAATTGTAGCAACAAGCCCCTTTTTCGAGACAAACATGGCGACCATTTTCTTTGCCACGCTGCGGGAGCAAACCACTTCCGTTGGTTTCACCTCGTCTTCGAAGATCCAAACTGCGGACTGATGTTTTCCTTCAGGTTCGTATGAATAGATCCATGGTTCGTCACCTGACACAAAATTATAAACTGCATTTGACTTCCCTACATTGAAGCGTTGCAGAGTATTCCGGCACCAATCTACACGAGCCGCCATTTTCTTCGGACAAATTGTGGGGAACGCAGCGGGAAACTAGCTTTCTTACACACAGCTCATTATGTACTATCGACTGAATTGCAGTCATTCCGATAATGATAACAGCCCGAATCTTCTCGTTGTCACATGACGATCATCTAATATAATAGTTCGCACAGCTGCGATGTTTTCAGGCGTGACCGCTGTTCTTGGTCGGCCTGCAGAACAAACAGTGTTGAGCGACACACAACCGCGTCGGAACTCGGCATACCAACGGTATATTGTCGTTCGACTCGGTGCTTCAACATCATACATCGAAACAAGTTCGCTGAGACATTTATCTTGAGATAAGCCGCGACGAAATTTGCGATAAATTATGGCACGGAAATGTTCACGCAGTGAGCTCCATTTCTGTTAACGTCGTGTCAACTTTAAACCAACATAGTTTTTGTTTTTAAACATTTTTTTAAATTGTTTGAATGTCATTATATATTCTAAGAG